ACGGGTTTTATAAAAAACTCGATGAACTAAAAATTATATTAACAGAAATCCAACCAGCAATAATATGTTTACAAGAAACTAATTTTAAAAACGATAACACAGGAAAACTACTAAACTACACAGGTTATAGTAAAAACCGAACTGAGGGATTACGAGCTAGTGGGGGAGTGACAATATATGTCAAAACTGAATATCCTAGTAAATTAATCAACATAAACACCCACTTCGAAGTCACAGCGGTTAGAGTAAAACTTAAATACCTAGAATTAAATATATGCAACATATATCTACCAAACCAACACAGCTTCGACCATATCGATATAACAAATATTCTAAAACAAATACCAACGCCTTTCATCATTACCGGAGACTTCAATAGCCACAACATCAAGTGGGGATCCGTGTCAACCGATAGAAGAGGAAAAGAAATTGATAAAGCGTTCGATGACGACAATATTGTAATACTTAACAGCAACGAACCCACTCATATAAATATCGCAAACGGTCTTACGTCCAACATTGACCTAACATTATCTAACGCATCCCTAGCACAAAGATTACAATGGAAAGTATATAGCAATATAACCAGCAGTGACCACTTCCCCATTATCATTAAATACTTATCTCGGATCCCCGATGAACCTCCCTCCGGTGAAAGGTGGAATTTAAAAAGTGCCGATTGGCCACTTTTTTACGAATTACTCGATGAAGAAATCAAATGTATAAATGATGCCGAAACGGTAAGCATCGATACAATAGTACATACATTTACTAACTCAATACTTAAAATAGCAAATCTTACGATAGGTAAATCAACTGCTAATAAAAAAAAACCCAAAGTACCCTGGTGGAATCAAAACATTAAATCGGCAATCAAAGATAAACATAATGCATTAAAAAAATTTCAACTCTCCAATTCTCAAGATGACTTCATTGAACTGAAAAAACGCCGAGCAAGAACCAAATATTTGATTAAAACTAGCAAAAAAGCTTCATGGGAAAATTTCACAAGTAGTATCAACGAAAAAGCCGACACCAAACTTGTTTGGAACAAAATCCAATCTCTAAAAGGACTTAGCAGAAGTCGAAGAATAAACCTTATCGATAATAATACCGACCTACTAATGAATAACGACCATTTAATTGCGAATAAATTGGGAGAATACTTCTACAACAACAGTAGCGATAAAAACTATAAAACCCAGTTTCAAATTTATAAACAAAAATGCGAAAACGAAAATATTCCCAACTATATAGACAGTAATCTTACGGATCAAATCCAACTAAACAAATCAATTTCCATCCAAGAACTCAAATACACTTTAGCAAAATGCAAAAGTCACGGCCCCGGGCCTGACAATATACCTTACATATTTATTCAAAACTTTGGACCAAATGCCCTAAAATTAATGTTAAAAATATTCAATAGAATCTTTATCGAAGGCTCTTGGCCAACCACTTGGAAAAATGGTACTATTATACCTATCATCAAACAGGAAAAAGATAAATTTAAACCAGAAGGATATAGACCAATAACTCTATTGAACACCATGTGTAAGATATTGGAAAAAATTTTGAACCTTAGACTAACATGGTTCCTAGAAAAATACAACTACCTAGCCATACAACAAAGCGGTTTCAGAAAAAATAGAAGCACAATTGACAATCTCTTTCAAATTAAACACGAAGTAAATCAGACCTTCGAAAACAAGCAAATCATGGGACTAGTGAACTTGGACATTTCCAAGGCTTATGACTCAACATGGAGACATAACATATTAATTAAACTCAATAAAATTTTATCCAAAGGCAAAACACTCAATATTATAACCGACTTTTTAAAAGACCGCACATTCCAAGTAAAAGCAAATAGCCAGATGTCTGACGAATTTTATCAAGAAAATGGAGTACCCCAAGGCTCAGCCCTGTCAGTAACGTTATTTCTGTTAGCCATAAACGACATAACCCAATGCTGTTCCCTACCCGTAAAATGCAACCTTTTCGCAGACGATTTTAACTACTCATGTCGAAGCAGTAATATTAACTCTGTACAAAAATTCCTTCAGATAACCACCAATAATCTAGAAGAATGGGCCGGAAAGACAGGTTTTAACTTCTCTCCAAAAAAATCAAACTGCATAGTATTCACAAAAAAAAGAAAGGTAGGCAAACTTCATATCACTCTCGACGGCATGCCAATTCCCAATAAAAAATCGGTTAAAATCCTTGGCCTTTTCTTTGATCGCCGTCTCACGTGGGCATCCCATATACAATACCTAAAGACCTCAACCAACAACGCTCTAAACTTACTCAAAATACTATCCCACACAGCTTCGGGAGGTGATTCCGAAACACTAATCAAAATCCACAGATCTACTATACAGTCCAGACTAAACTATGGATCCATTATGTTCAAATCTGCAACATACTCTATCCTAAAAGCAATTGATACTATCAACAACAGCGGACTAAGACTAGCTATAGGTGCTTTCCGCAGTAGTCCAATTTTAAGCATATATAACATAACTGGAGAACACCTACCCGAGATAAAAAGGATAGACTTAGCTCTAAAATACATGGTTAGAACAGTTAGAGCCAACTTCAACTCACTCACAGAGGAAAATACTGAAATTCACCAAGAATTAAAAGTAAACGGTATTAACACGGCTCAAATAATTTCAAGAGAACCAATGACCCATCCTCCTTGGATAGCTCATTACGCAATAAATACAGAGCTAACTTCCCTCCTAAAACCTCAAACTCCTCCCCCAGTATACAGAAGTCACTTTCTCAGTATACTAGAACAATATAAAGACTACCAAAAAGTATACACCGATGCTTCTAAATCCCAAGACGAAGTTGGCTTTTCAATAATATTCCAAAACAGAAATCTACTATTCAAACTTCCAAGCACATGTTCCATATTCTCGGCTGAAGCAATTGCGATACTAGAGGCAATAAAAAGAATAATACATGAAGAGCACTCAAAACATATTATTTTTAGTGACTCCCTAAGTACCCTTAACAGCATCAAAAACCAATTCCATCCCGGCGACATCGCAATAAAAATTCAAAACAAACTAAACGAAGCCTCAACTATGAACAAACAAATCACGCTCATGTGGGTTCCTGGACATGCAGGCATCAAAGGTAACGAGTTAGCCGACCAACAGGCTAAAATTGCCACCCAAAATGAGGAAGTAACATTAATACCAGGGCTAACATACGATGACTTAAAAACCCAGATTAATGAGATGTCCAACGACAAGTCGCTCCAGTTATGGAAGCAACAAACTTCCAAACTGAACACTATTAAAAGTTCCACTAACCGATGGATTAACAGCTTTCTAAAAAGGAAAGATGAAACAATACTAAACCGCATGCGAATCGGACACACGAGACTAACCCATGGTTATCTAATGGCTAAGGAAGAAACTCCTATATGTGTAGCTTGCGGTGTAAGACTGACCGTGAAACACATATTAACCGAATGCCTCAAGTACGAACAAGACAGACAAAGGATTGGAATCGACGCGACACTTGACACTTCACTAGGACCAGAACCCGAGAACAATGCCAAGATGATCGACTTCCTAAAATCAACCGACTTATATAACTTAATTTAAAAATTACACATTCTCTTTCTTGGCTCTTAACTATTAGAATACGCAAACTTAATGTATACCCATTGTAAATAACTTTTTTCCACCACATCTGTAACTAATGGCCATAGATGCCGGGTTGTAAAATAATGATCAATAAAAAAAAAAAAAAAAAAAAAAAATTATCTATGATGAATGAACGGTTCCTGAATAGAATAGATAGCCTAGAACTTTATCGTGTGTCTAGACTCTAGATACAAAAACAAATAAATGTAAATCCAAGCTTTTTTCTCTTCAAAACTAAAAAGTACAATGAACACATAATAAGCGTAAAGTAATTGCTTTTAATATTTAATTTTAGAACTAAAAATTGATCAGTAAATTTGTTGATAATACGTTGAAGAATACTTCAACTTGTAATTTTCTTATCGGAAATATTATTTTTATAATAAAAATTAACTACTACGTCGAATCGAGCTTTATAAAATGTGATTTATTGATTTTGTTTTCTTTCAAATAGGGTTTTTTTTTAAATGCTTTATTTTGCTAAGCTAAGTAGTAGATAATAAAACGATAAAGTGTATTTCAATTAATCCTTGCGTCACTATTATTTTTGAACATGCATTAAGGAGTATAAGAATATCAGAAGTGTTTAGATAATCATTACCGAGTGATCGATTTTAAGTAGGATACTCATCTTCTCAAAAAAAATTTTTTTTTTTAAATTATATTCGTAATATTATTGTACAATTTTATATAACTACCAAATATTTACTTTTTTTGTATTTTCTAGAGCGCTATCAGCTTTTGAAATTTAAATGGGAACGTCATATTTCACTAACTTTTTAAATAATAATATTTTTCTACAAAATTTGAGTGGGCAATAAAGAATTATTTTTATACGCGCGAATTATTCAACCACACTTCACCTCCCGTATTACATTTTTGACTTTAATAGTTTTATAAGTAATTCTTTAAAACTGGATAACGCCCACTCAGCATTTTCCTTAAAATACAAAATCTTCTTTAGGTTTCAAAAGTTGATAGCGCTCTGGAAATTACAAAAAAAACTTAAATACTTCTGTCGTTAGCGCTGAAGATGACAACATCGTTGTCGTAACACGTGTACGCAAGAAGTGTATAATTTTTATGGTTTAGGGTTCAAGTAGATTTTATATCTTTACTATATATTTAACCATAAGTTTGCTTAACAGTTTTTTCTAGATTAAATACTTGATAATTTTATAATATATTGTACAATAGAATAAATAAAATTGTTTTCAAAAAGAAAATTAGAGCTTATGATGGATCATCCAGTGTATATAAATTACATCCAGTGTATATTATAAATATATGTATATACATATTTTTTTCATTTGTTTGTTGTTTTCTCTTTAGGTATGGCGCCATTGGTAATATTTATACCAACAATAGCAAGGCAATTGGGATACTCGATGGCAACATACGGCACAGCGATGACATGTGCAACATTAATTTCTATGATAGGCTCGCCCATCATTGGCCGTATCGTGGATAAATATCCAGTTAAAAAACTGTTTTTCTTAACTGCTGCATTAGCGTGTGGTATATGCGGATTTTTAATAATGTTTGTTCCTAAACTTCCGTATGAAACTAATTCAGAGTTAGTGTGTGGAAACGAAACTTATTTAAAAGTGTTTTCAAAAACCAATGAACAGTCCAGTTGCGAAGACAATACATTTTTGAATCCAAAAACTGATGAAGTAATTCATTGTAAGGTAAATTGTTTGAAGAAAATAGATAAAAAAGTTACAGAATTATTTATAAAATACCAAAACTAGCACATTTTTTCACCGTCCGGGTATCTTAATACATACTTTGGATTTAGTAAAACTTTTGAATATAGTCGGAAAATTAGATTAGGTCATAGACCTATAAAGATATGGACTGCGCATCCCACACACCCCGCCTATACTGTCGCGTTATGAACAACGTTAGAAATAGATAGATAGAGTTGTTAGGTTTCCCATGGAATAAACATTGAAAAGTCATGGAATAATAAAATTATATATGTCTATATGACGATACACACACATGGCAATATATAATAATTAAATCATATTTAATTATTATTTATTAGTGTGTTATTCGAAGTATGTAAAGTATTTAAGGGGATTGCGTGCGGCTGGTTTTTAAGGAGTTTTGTATAGGCAATATTTAAGAAAAAAGTGGTTTCAATAAATTTCGATCATGTCAATTAATTGACCGGTTAATTTGTATAAGCTTCATGGTATTATTTTTAATTTAAATTACTTTGTCTATGAGTAAAAACCATTTTAGTTAATATAACATACATTTTTTGTTCCATCGCACAGGCTGAACCAGTGATCCGATAAGTAATCTGAAAACCGATTTGAATTCCTTATGAAGTTTACATATGGTCGGTCAGGGTGCTTTTTTGATATCTTATTCGGTATTCCTACTATGTATCAAACACATTTGAACATTATATAAAGTGTCAAATTTAAAAATCAAATTTGGAAAGGGTTAAAAAAAAATTGAAAAAAGTACCCTGACCGATCATAAGTAAACTTCATGGCGAATTCAAATCTGTTTTTAGATTGCTTATCGGATCACTGGTTCGGTCTGTGCAATGGAATAAAAATGATGTGTTTTGACTAAAAAAACCGACCTCATGCAGTCCCCTTAAGGATATGTATTTCATTATTTTGTCGGGTATCCACTTTCGTATGATGTATTGTTTTAAATATATATGTATAGTGTATCGGTAATAAATACTTAAAAAACATTACAATTTCATTCAGATTTTATCAATGAACTTTCTGTTTTACTTTTATAAAACGTGTAAGGATGTTTTGAAAAACAGTTTTTCTTTACAAACTCTATAGACAATTTATTGTTGGTAAATTATTTTTATACTAAAATATTTTTAATATTGTTTTACATACTATTAGTATGTATAGGAGAGTACCAATGCGAATTTCAAAAAAGTTAATTGACAATAGATCAGCTGTCGGTGATTGGGTAGATTATAGAAAAAAAATTTGAGTACAAACAAAATGTGTGGCAGGTATTCGACGACTTCAAAAAAGAATCAAATGGTTTGGGCACGTAATGAGAAGGTCAAACACAGAGTACCTAAAAGCGGCCGTCGAGTTCCAATTTTACATTGGAAAACCATTATGATAAATTAAACTGATGACAATTAAAATTCAATATTTTAATAAGATGAATTAAAAATGTTTTATATAAAAATTTCGTTATCGGGTATTATCATATTACTATTTCTCCATGATATAATATTTTTTATAATATTCTTCCATGCCATACCTAACAACTCTCTCTGTCTCTTCTTAACGATTTCGATATTCGGACCTCTCTCTCTACATCAGTCCATTTCTTTATAGGTCTATGGATTAGGTTGATAAAGTACGTTTTTATTTTGAATATAAAATATTTTTTTACCATTTTTCGGAAAAGTTATAGCGTGTTTTTTTTAAATTAAAAACTATGAAAAACGTCAGTGTGTCATCCTTAATTTTTATGAGAAAGGTGTGATGAGGAAGTGAGAAACTTTTGAAATTGTTGGTATTTTAAAAGTACTTCTGATGTATATCAAGATTTCTGTTCTAAAGACTAGCTATATAAAATTATTGGTCCAGTAGTAAAGATAATAATAATTTTTAAAAAGCCAGTACAGTGGGGTCGGGGCATAGTGGGGACGGAGAGGTCACAGGTCTACAGATTTTATTAAAACTGAAAGTGATAAAATCACTTTTAAATAAACGCTTCGATGCGTATCTGTGGATAGTATGTTCAAACCAGTTATAGCGGTTTAGAAGATATCGTGGGACCAGCAATAATGTACTTCAAATTTAATATTTAGTCTTGTGCAGGGTGGATACGATAAGGGTTGATCGTCTGTCTATAAAAATGTACTGTCATAGTTACCCATATATCGTAATTAACAATATAATAAAAATATTTTCATTACCTGTTGACCGTTTTTTTTAATACGTACTTAAAGCTAAATTGTCAAAAAAACCCTTTCGAAGGATGCAATAACTGTACTCGGGAGAAAGACACTATTGACTATTTAAGCATTACCACAGAAGACAATCGTCTGATTGACATTTCAACTCAAGTGCACTTTTCGGAACACGTAATACATGGACCGTTTAATTTTTTTTTAAGGTGTGTACAGTCATTTTTCTTTTGATACTTAGGTGGAAAATATTTATAAATTCCAAGTATTAACTGCTCAAATCGACGACATCCCAATATCGTCATTATCATGTCAAAACAGTGTAAAAACCAGTTGCCAATTGAATTGTTCGGATAATTTTGTGGCAGAATTAGCTTCTAGTCCTGCGTTTGAGGGAAGCGTTTACAAACTGTATCAATTCTGGTGGTTATTACAATCTCTGATAATATTGTTTTTTTTCTCACAATCAACGGGCATGTTGCAGAATGCTATTTGTCTGGACCTGTTGGGTAATTTGTATATTATTTAATATAAAGTACCTATCAACTGTTGGATACAATGTGCAGGCGACAAGCATGAAGATTTCGGCAAGAATAAGTGTTGGTCGTCTGTCGGTTGGGGAATAAGCTCCATCGCCAGTGGTTGGCTAGTAGACTACTTCAGTCCCGATCCCAAGAATAAAAACTACACGCCGGTTTTCGGTATAAGTCTCTTGTCTGCTATTTGTCATTTTATCGTGGCACAGAAAATCAAAGTATACCTACACAACTGCAGATTTAAACTATCATTTGTTATGAACCTAAAGTGCGGATTGTTTTTTAAATTAGATTGTTGAGACTACCGTGTCTAAAGATTGGAAACCAAAAGTGCAACATACGATTTATGGATTATTTAGAAAAGGCTATGTGGTTAGCTTTTTCGTCTGGATGGTAGTGATGCAATTTTTTCATTCCATAATTATTCATTTTCTATTTTGGTAATTGTAACTTTTGTAAAGATCTTTTAAATACAAACATATTAGGTTTTAAGGTCAAAAAAACGCTTGTTAAAAGTTTGTTCCTTGCCAAAAAAAACCAGTTCCACGTTAAAAAAAAAAGTCATTAAAAACATTAGAATATATCTGTACCTCAGAACCACACAAACGTAAGTCACATTATGTCAGCTTTTTAGGAGATAAAACTTTATCGTCTAACGTGCGTTATTATGAAGACTTACACTTTATTATTCCCTATACATTATTATAATTTTTAATAGGTAAAGTTTCTATATGTAAAAGTTTATTAAGCTGAAAATCTCCATTTGTAGCGTTTAGTATTGAGGTAAATATATCACCATACAAAATATGTACCTACCTGTTATTGAGCAATTAATGTTTTATATTAGAACAATTTTTTCAACATGGCTTTACAGGTATTTAGATGAAATGGTTGATCACGATTGTAGTAAACGGCAATGGATAAAAACGTTGCAAGGTATCACCCAAGGCGTTCAATGTTTTGGCGGGGAATTGCCGTTTTACTTTTGGGCTGGTTGGATTATACAAAAATTGGGATACTTAAACTGTATGGCATTGTCATTGGGAGTCATGTCTGTCAGAATGTTCTTGTATTCGGTTATTTCGAATCCAGCGTGGGTAATATTAATAGAAGTGTCGAATGGAATCTCATACGCGTTGGCTGTGGCCACCAAAATGTCCTATGCTAAGCTCATTTGTCCTCCCAACGAGCTCAACTCATTAGTAGGGTTTGTCGGGTTTGTCATTGTTGGCGGTAAGTACATCTAATATCAATTGAAAACTTTCAATGTTGTGTTTTAATTTTTCTTTTTAATTAGGCGATTCTCTCGGGAGTTTTATTGGTGGATTTGTTTACGAAGCTTATGGTGGCGCAGGAATGTTTAAATATTGTTCGTACGTGTCCGGATTTATGTGTCTTTTGCAAGTGCTATGCAATATTTTTGGAGTGTCAAAAGAGTTAAAAAATAAGGACTTCACTCCGGTTTCTACTCAAAACGCGATTGACGCGAAATTATAATACTTAGCTATGCCGTTAAATAGTTAAAATTTTAAAAGATATTTTATACATTCATATGACTGAAATGTATTGTATAGTGTATAAATTATTTTTTTATTTTTTTTATTTTATTTTCTAGAATCAACTAGAATCAAATGTGTTTTATTTTGTTGAACTTAAAAATACCAATAGGTATTAACTTGTTTTATACTATTATGTGCTTTTTTTCCTTGTCTTCAAAAATTATGGCAATCGATAGGTATGCTGTATCGTATTGGTAATTATAATTAATGGCAAACTTTGTAAAATTTCTTTTAAAAAGTAATGCGTTCCCATTCACAATCCTTATTTTCAAAATGAATGTATTCACATTCATCAAAAAATAAAAAGCATTCCGAAAAAAAAATAATAGTTTTTAATATTAATTCTTGTATAGAGAAATAGTAGCTGGACGTAACCTTCAAAAATGTATTTTTAATAATGAACCTTTATATAAAATATAAATACTGGTAATTGTAAATGATAAATGAAAAATAAAGGTAGCCAATACTCAATAGTATTTAGTAATTACTAATGATTAGTAAATGTCATCAAGTTATAATGAATAAGAAATATAAAATTATTTATTTAAATATAAATTATTAAATTAGTTAATTAGTTAATCAATAAAAAATTAGTCATTTAAGTGTGTATTTTGTTTTAACAACAAAAGCATTTCAAAAAATAAACATATCACTAAGACGCTGACGTTTAGCCACTTGTATAGCTATACTGTAATTTATTAATTATTTAGAATAATTTCATGTCATGTATTTTAGTCTTCAGGGAATTTTTTTTTAAAGAATAATTTAAGACTTAATTTGGGGGGGCTAGCATTTTTTAACGGAAAATATTTTTTTTCTAAACTCCATTCATTTGCATTTACATTCCGACATAAAACGAATGCACTCACATTCCTTAAAAATAAATGTAATGCATTCATGATTGAATTCCTCTAAAAAGGAATGAAGTTCAATGAATGCATTATTTTATAACATTGATTAATGGGCCGCTAGCTTTATATAGTATATATATATAATATATATAATTATTATTATTATCAATGACATCCGCCTATGAGGAGACCGAACAAAATAGACCTTTAAACCTTATTCCCCATAAAAAAAACCATAGGATAACAAAAGTTCAAAATAATATACAAATAAAATAATATAATATTTAAAAATATGATCGTAGTCACTAAAACTGAGTTCGTGTTGTTCGTTATCGCCGATCTACTTATCTAATATATTGTTTACCAGAAAAGATTACATTGAGCATTATTGAAAATTTTTAATTAATTATTAGTTACACATTCATTAAAATATTACATAAGTTGAGTTTTCTTAAGTGCTAAAGGTGAGTGCTATAGGCTTCTTATTAGCATATAAGCTAATTATCATCAATTCATATATATTATTTATTATAGTTCTATAACCATTTACAACGTCGTCGACTAATTTTAAACAAATAGCTATCAGTTAGATAAAATATATAGGTACGTATAGTTTTCACCACGAAGGACAATAGTTCGTTTATTTCCATTTGCCACTGTAATTAAAATACGCAACGTTTCTTTGTATAATAATTTTAATTTAGACAGTTTTAACGTGATTTGTTAATGTCACATGTTACTCAATTGTTAAATTTATAATTAAGTTAAAATATTTGTAAAAACTAAAATGTGGTGGCACGCAAATATCAACAAGGAGCTGATTTTAATTAAATTTCATTATTTTCTGGCACTCGGTGGTAAGAATATAATAATATAAGTTTTATACTATACCTAAATACTTTATATTTTAGCATGGAATATGCTTTAGTCTTGGCCCCCAGCCCGCAAACGACACTAAATTACGATACTAAAGTAGCGCAATAGCTAATAACTAAGCAACAAGATTATTGGTTATTTGACCAGTACATAAACCTAATTAAGACTATACTATCATCATAAATCGCAAGTAGATTATAGATTAGAAATAATGACTATTCAGGAGCCTGAAGGCTAAAGCATGTTCCATGTTTTATAATTTTACCCGTTAGGCTTTAAGTAGGATGTATTTTTTACTATACCAAAGATGATAAGAATTTAACTTTAATCTTTTAAAATTAAAATATATTTGTACATACATGTTATAATAAAATATTTAGTGGATAAAGACATAAGGCTTTACATTCCAAGAGTTTTTGCCGCCATCACTAAATCTCTTCATTTCTCTCGATCCTATATGCCTCTAACTCGGTACTCCTAGAATCCTCAGATACTCTCTATCCACTTATTATGATGATGACCTCGTGGTCTTTTCCCTTCCGGCTTCCAGCACATTACTAGACGAATTGTGATATATCCTCACTTCATCGAATTACATGCTGTAGGCCTCAGCCATTAAGTTCTAAATAAAAGTTTTTGAAGGATATTATACGTTTTAACAATATTTTTTATAAAATGCTGTTTAAGTATAATAAACATATTTCCAAACATTTAATTTAATTTAAAGTATTATTATGATGTTTTTCAACATTTAAACAACATTTTGTTTAATATTATATTTTAATCTCCAACTAATACATAATTTTAATTTATATTTAAAATATTAACACTATTGATTAACATTTTGTAAACTTTAAACAGTGTCATTAGTAGTACTATTTTAATATTTTATATATTTATTTGATTTTTTTTGATATGTTTTAAATTAGCCTGTGCGCCGATTAATCCGTTTTTATTTACTATCGGAAAGCAACGGGGTTATTCTGCATTCGTGATGGGCATCACTTCCTCTGCACTCAATATTCCCAGTTTCATTTTACGACCAGCAATAGGAGGAATCACGGACGCATACAAATGCCGCAAATTTACATTTTTGTTGGGAGAAGTTCTAATGGCTCTTGCAGTTATTGCATTGATTTGTACACCAGGTGCCTCAGGTTCAGAAAACATAGATGATAACACTGTATTCAAAACGTTGCTGTTTTGGGTATTTTTTTGTGTTCTCTTTCTGTTTTATCTTGGTAATACTATGCGTATGGTCACGGAAGACACCATCTGCGTCAGCCTACTAGGTGTGTAAACTTAAAGTGATGACGCATAATGTAATATGGAGCAAAATAAAATTATCATCATCGTTACTTTATTTACTCAATGCGTCTTCGTGTCAGTAATGAAAACTTTAAATAGGACTTAAGATATCTATTAAGAACTATAAAACTTAATGCTGTTCAGAATACTTACGTTTTTAGATTTTATTTGTTTAAATATATAAAATATAAGTAAAACATTGGATATTTTTCATAATATTTAAATAATAATTTGCTTACTATTATTTTTTAAAATTTTAATATTCTGCCATAACACGATTTTTAAAGTATGCATACAAATAACAAACTTTACGACAAAATTTTTAAAATTGTATTAACTTTTTGCTGCATGGGACGAGGTTTACGTCTCTTAGGGATTTAGAATCAAGGTGAACGGAATTATTATTTTTATTTTGAAAACATTCAAAATAGGTTATTTCATACGTTATTGATGTCACATTGAATTTAAAAGACGAAATACAAACAAATAAAAAATACGCAAAATAATATAATAAGATTTGCGAAAATTAAAATTAAATATTAATAATAATAATAGCAATAATAGTAATTACAATAGCAATAAAATTTCTCATCAGTTTTTCTTTTTAGGAGACAATGCGCACAAATACGGGCAACAAAGATTGTGGGGAGCAGTTGGTTGGGGAACCTTCTCACTAATTTCTGGTGTGTCCGTCGATTGGCTAAGTGAAGGAAAAGATTATAAAGATTATAGAGCTGGTTACGTGGTATCTTTGATATGTTCAATTCTAGATATTTACGTTTCTTCAAGAATTAAGGTAATTCAAATTCTAATTTAAAATTGAATTCCGACATATTTGTGTGTCGTGTATAACTTACAAAATTGTAGTATTAGTATATTAAAAATAATGTTCACCAATAAATCTCTAACATTTCAGGTTGAGCAAGTTAAAAAAACTGACACTCTCGGTGGAAATATGAAAAAAATCGTAACTGATTTTAGAATAATCGCACTTTTAATTTCAACCATCATATTAGGTTTCTTGTTGAGTTTTATTACGAATTTTCTTTTCTGGTTAGTAAATAGTATACATAGGTTATAGTAAGTATGTAAGTTAACTATTTTTTCTGTGCTTGATCAAATAATTATTGTTCCGTAATTAGGTATCTAGAAGATATTACCAATTTGTTTCATCCTGAATATTATTCCTGGATTAAAACTATCCAAGGGCTTTCTTTGACTATACAGTGTTTTTTGGCTGAAGTACCATTATTTTTTGTGTCTAGTAAGTGAGAATTACTGTTAATTTTTTAAATAAAATCTAAGTATATGCCTCTACTTAAACGGTTATGATATATTTTTTCTAAGGTTATATAATCAAAAAGATAGGAAGTATGAATGTGTTTACATTAGCATTTATGATTTTTTCAATACGATTCGGTCTTTATTCAATTATTGAAAATCCAATGTTTACACTGGGCGTTGAATTACTTCATGGATTTACCTATGCACTAGTTTATTCAGCCGCGATTTCATATGCCGCCAAATTGGCTCCAGTTGGCGCCGAAGGAACGATGCAGGGAATGGTTGGAATGTCATTGATAGGAATAGGTTTGTAAATTGTTTTGATGTAAAATAATATGTATGTTTTGTTAGTTTGCGTTCAGTTATCAATAATTGAAAATAAATTGTATTTTACAGGCATCCCATTGGGTAGTGTTGTTGGTGGTTATTTAATGAAGGATTTTGGAGCCATTACTACATTTAAACTAATTGGTATTGTTGCGTTCACCGTTTGTATCTTCCAAGCAGTAATGAATTTGATTATTAAGCAAATGTATAAAAGTAAAAATGAAACTAACGAAACTAGTTAATTTTTAAACATAATGAAATACATGTATTAAAAGATACTCATTAGTTTATTATAAGTATTATACAAATAATACAGTATTGTAATTTGCCATATATTATATGTAAATAATATATACATATAAAAATTATGTGTATTATTATCGTGCTACTAAAAATTATGTAATAACCTATCATATTAATTAAGCGTGTTGTCCAGATGACAGATTTACCTTAGTCCTTAATATAATTTTAATTAACTATAGTTCAACAATGTATTAAGTAATAACTAAAATATAATGCTGCTCAACGCAAAAGATCAAATATTTACATGATGCGTGTAGTGTTAATGTATTTATGGTATATTTATAACATGTGTTTGTCCGATTACGTTGGAGGGTCAGTTTCAGTTAATAAACAGCCATGATACCATAATCATGCAGTGGCGTAATTTGGTCATGTTTGTGGGGGAGGAGGATAAAAAAAATTTGCATACATTTTACTCATCACCCCATCCATCCCTCCTCCAATTTTTTTTGTATGTATACCAATGTGATATATATAACGTCAAGGGGGGGATACGACACCCAAATCCCCCCCGTAAAATACACTACTGTAATGTGATATCTTTATTGCCACCTAACTTCTATTTTCTTTTAGCTTCGATGCAAAGCGAGAAGGTATTGGTTTTACTCTGATGTGGGCTTTTTTTTTTATCTGTATACACTGTAACTTTTTTAATACTGGACCAATTCCTTCGAATAGCAACTCTATAAATCACAAATTTTTATCTAGTTGGTACTTAGAGGAGGTAAAAGTTGAAAAAAATTACTTCTTCACGGACAAAATTTGAAAAAACAAAAAAAAACCGTACGAGTTTTTGAGTTAGAACTTTTACTGGCTATAATTTCGAGAAAAAGTCGGATCGAGTTGAAATTTATAAGGAATGTTTATTTGGTATGCCCGCACACGTCAGTTGCATCAAATTTAAATTAAACTCATTTCCCACCCCCTTAGGGGGGGGGGTAGTTAGAACTCATATGTATTCATAACATATTAAACGGAAATCAAATTCGGCACTACAGTTTTTTTTTAATTGCCGGAAACCTGTGTTTTCGCAGATTGCGTATATTTTAACAAAAACACGTAAAATCTTTAAAAAAAATTATCAAATCATTAAAACAATTTCACGTATATCTATGCAGAATGATACTATTAAGTTTTTTGCTCAAGTACCACTTTTGACTTTAAGTTTACACAAATTCAATTTTTTTTTTTTTTTAACTAAAAACACGGTGTACCAGATGTGAGAAACGAACAGACACTAAAAACTATCAGTTGGTAACGTCTATCCATGTTAGGTTAGGTTAGGGCCCAATGGTCGGTATCATAATATTGTGTTTATTACATGACATCACAGACGACTAAATCGTGTAACTGATTATAGTAGACACACGATTTATTGGGAAAAAACCTATCCGTGTACTTATTAAGACACTTAATGATTCTGATACGACAAAACCACTGTCGTTATCTCGTTATTTTATCGTCTGCGTTATATTACCTTACCGAAGGTCAACTATGAGTATATAAGGTCCAACTACCTGCAAATTATGAAGAGGACTGTTGTTTTTTGGATTCAGATAAAGTGTTGGTTTTTGTGCAGTATACCGTCCCAAAATGTATTTTTAATTACACAATTTTTTTAAAGGAAAACTAATGTTTTGCATATTGTTATACTGTTATTCATTTAAAGAGATTCACGCTTGATTGTTTTAATTATCTTATATAAGATATGTAATCTGCTTCGTGCTAGTTTTAATTTTTTAGTTTATCAACTTGTAGTTCTAATTTTGTATAAAATATTTCATTTTTACTATGTTCAAATTAAGATATATTTTAATAATAATTAAGTCATGAATGATAATACTTTATTTTATGACTATATCAAATCTCGTGAACATTTAACATCATGATACTGCTCCTATACTATTATTAAAAAAACACAATTTTTAAAATCTCCATAAAAGGTTATTGTTAAATAACAGGCAACAGCCGACCGCTAGTTAAGTATAATTTCTTATTAAGTGATCCTAAAGAGGTGCAATTTAAAAAATTAACATTATAATGTTTTTAGGTGGGGGTAAACCAAGAATATCCGTATGATTTTTTTGTGAGACATTTTGCTTCATGCTTAATTGTGTTACAATGTTTTAAAATATTACATCACAACAATAATAATAAATAATATAAAAATCTCTATTTACTTACTCATTTACTCAAGTTATTAACTTCGATGGGAATCTCATACGGTATTGTTTTTACAATGATGTTTTTATTTTTATATTTTCGTGTCTGGATCGACGATATCCTAATTTTAAGTACAATTATAATTATTAATCCTTGATTATTGTGTTTTGGCGTTACATAATAACTACAGGTTAAACATATTATTGTAACAATGAAATAAAAATTAAAAATGTTTGAAATAGTGTACCATGTTTTACCATTATGTTTTTGACACAATTTAACTTGTAAGTGTATCATAACCATTGAGATATTTCTTAAGAACAAATTGATTGTGTGATCGTACTATAATAACAAAGTTGAACAAATCACTCTTAATAATACATTGAATGACCTTATCAACTTCTGATTCAATCTAAAAAAAAAAAACGAGATATAAAAATAAAGAAAAAATCAGCCTCTATGGATGTTTATGTAAATAAACATCCATATTGGATTAAAAAAAAAACCATTACTTAATAATTAGCGATGTGTATTTAATACGTTGGCCGTTTTGCGTATTATACAGATAGTTAGTAGTCATTTATGCACTTTACATTAAACGTCTAGTCACAAATGAAATATTTTAATAATAGCTAAATGTCTATAACGACCTTTACTTACTTAATAATAATTTTTAATTTTTTTTATTTATAGTAGATAAATTACCATAACTCAAATTTAAAATGGTTTGTTCGAGAATAAATAGAGAACTATTGATGCTTAAAATTCACTTCTTTCTCGCAATGGGTGGTAAGAGTACACTTAAAATATTTTATAGCTGTTAAATAACTTTTATAGCCATTTTCAGCACATAAGGATTTAATAGTATTAATCATTTGTCGTAAGAAATGCACACAACAATTTGATTAATTTTGTAAGAAAAAATAACTTATTAATAGAAAAAATAGACATATGCACCATTAATAATAATTACACTTTTGTTCAAAAATTTTTAAACTTTTATGATTGTAATTTGCATTTAAAAGTTATTAAATAATTCTTAAAATGTTACTTTTGAAAAGAGTTCTATAACTATTCTAAGGCTCAAGAAACCAATATTAAAGTTATTAACTATTAATTTTTCTTCAATGTTTATAATTAAACGAAATGTTTTAACTTAAATTTATAAATTTGTACTTTTCACATAAGGTTTATAGTATAATTGCTTTTGCCCTTTAGGCATGGGGTCGTTTTTCCCATTCTTACCCACTATTGCCAGGCAACGGGGTTATTCAGTGCTGGTGGCTGGCATGTGTCATACATTAATACCTATCCCAGGACTGCTGCTGAGACCGTTAATAGGAGCCATCGCGGATACCCACAACTGTCGTAGAAGAGCTTTCATTCTTATAGAACTTGTTCAATTTATCGCAACGACTGCATTAATATTTGTACCAGGGGCATCGGCCTTGGAAGTATTCGACGACACTGCCGTTTTTGCGATGCCTTTGTTTTGGATGTACTATGGTGTTGTTTTTGTAGGAACGTTTGCCATGACCTCGCGAGGTACATTGGAGGACACGATTAGTGTAAACGCCTTAGGTAGGTATAATTACACATTAGGACTAAAAATAAATAAAAACATTGAATATAATATTATATAGTATGAATCAAGTTAATCGATTTACTTTTATAAATAAAAAACGTGAACAATTCGTTATCAATCGTTAATATTCAATTTTTAGGATTGTATCATATATGACGTAAAATGCACATACAGCAATAAATTAATTTTCATTGAACACTTAGGTAACATTCATTTTCCACGGTTACATAATATCAGTCTATATATAATTATATAAATTATAATTTATCATGAGTTATAATTATATTTTAACTTAATTACTAATCGTACAATCGACGCTGTACCGTTATACTTACAACGATAATAAATAATATTTATTATTATGTTGTATTGCAAGAGTTAAGAGTATAAATATTTCATACTTACATAGTTCATGGAAAAATTATATTATTTTATTACAGAAATTGTCAATAAGAAATATTTTTCAAATATTATTATGTTTACAATACAGTCCAACAAAACATATTTTTTTAGAAAATATTATTAATGTGTTTTTAAAATTTCGTTTAAACAATGTTTATTTAACTCGTTCAAGGCAAAGATTCACATAAATACGGCGAACTAAGAGTTTGGGGATCTATCGGTTGGGGATCTATGTCATTTTTGTCTGGTGCGTATGTCGATTGGTTTAGTCAAGGGCAAACCGACAAAGATTACACTCCTGCGTTTTTGATTTCAATGTTTTGTTCATTACTAGACATGTATATTTCTTCAAAAATCAAGGTAATTTATACAATGACACGTGTTTTATGACACAATACATTGTGTACAAATTGGTATATTACGATTTATGTTAAATTATTAAATTGTATTGTGCAAATATTTATCATTAGACCTTAGTTAATTAAACAAAAAAATACTTAGAAGATCACCTTAGTTGTCACTTAGCACCTGAGGTTAAGCCGTGTCCGTTGCCACTAGTCCCAGATGGATGACCATGTCATGACCCAACCTTACACCGTGTGAGTCACACGTTTTCCAATAAAACCTACCAACCATACCCAAAGGCCAAAACCAACTAATAAAGTTAATAGTCAATGACCTAATATACCGAACCTTAAAAAAAAAAAAATTCTGCATAATATGCATTGTACAATATTGTACGCACAGCGTTTGATAATATTATTTCATCGTTATCGTTTGATTATATTATTTGTATAATATTAATAAAACCTGACATTAATTAAATTCAATAATCCTAGGTTATCCTTTAACAAAACAATGATTATTCTTAACTACCTGTAATAAATAGGATTAACTAGTTATCACGATAACAGTTTCTAACGAGTATTTAATTAATAGATAATATCGCCAAAATTGTTTAATTAATAGTACAATTTAAACGATTGGTGGATGGATAGATTTGTCATCATCGTCATCATACATTCATCGTGTAGCTTATCGGGCCATGAAGGTCCAACGCAGCCATCATGAGATGGTTTCTGGACGAATTCGCTAACCGGGATAGGTCATCAGTCTGTCGCCGGAGAGGGGGATGGCGACTCCTAATAAGTGAAAATAAAAGGGTAGATTTGTGGAGAAGAGAAATAGATCGATGAAGAAAAAGAATAAGTTTTAATGTTACTAGACTATTTTCAGTTAACTCTGCAAAATTAAAATGATAAATTGTGTTAATCGTATTTATAATGTATACAACTAGGTATTTTAGTAAATAAGTTTGTAAAAACAAAATCTTAATACTAACTCATATGTTTTAGATCGTGCAGGAAAATAAAGATCAAAGGTTATCTGGTGATTTTAAAAAGATGTTTATCGATAAAAGACTAATCTTATTACTTCCAACGGTTTTAGTATTCGGATTTTTTGTGTCTTCTATTGCACATTATCAATTTTGGTGAGCAAATATATTAGATTAATAAAGCATATAAAACGAATATTTTCATTGTTTTTAACACTTTTAAATGTACAGTGTTTAAATTAACACTTATTTTAATAGTAGTAGTGATTTTAACAAATTTATATGTTATATACATATTTATTTATGGTAAATATAATGTATATATACTTTTTATTTTATTTTATAGGTATCTTGAAGATTTGATAAAAATGCATCACCCTGAAAATAAACCTTGGATTAAGACTATTCAAGGACTTTGCCTTAGCGTTCAATGTTTTGGTGGTGAAATTCCTTTATTTTTTTCCTCTAGTAAGTGTAAAAATGAATCTTTCTAATTTAATTAAACGACAACATTTGAGTTGACTTGACAACATATTTTATTGTTTTTACTACTTGTAAAAAAAACTAGTAAAGGAGAGGCTGTCAATGTTGTTAGGCTCTAGAATTCAGTGTATCGATTTCATACTATACTCTATCCTATACAAGAAAGGTAGTGCGCAAAAACCAAAACGTGTCATTCCTGGCTGAGTAAGAGCATTCGAGACTATTGCATTTTAGTTTCTAAGCAAAACCTTTCTTATATAGAGTATTGACTGTTTTTTTGAAACTAATTAGTTTTTTTATATTGATACTACCATGGCAGTTACCGTCTTCACTCCCCACTGCACTGGGTTTACTTTTTCATTAAGGTGATTGCATGAGGTCTGTTTTTAAGGCGTTTTGTATAGGCAATATTTAAGAAAAAAGCGGCTTTAATAAATTTTGACGAAGTACTTTAGTATCGCTATTTATGTCATTTTTGGGCTGGGGGGGGGGAAGCTAAGCATGTTCCATTCTAAAAAACAATTGCTTTTAAAGGTGTTTGTATTTTGCAGGTTTTATAATACGACGTTTAGGACACAAGAATATATTTTCTTTGTCGTTTTTTACACTTTCACTAAGATTGTTTCTCTATTCTATAATTGAAAATCCGGTTTGGGTTTTACCCGTTGAAGTTCTCCATGGGATTACGTTTGCGTTGACTTTTGCATCTGTTATCTCGTATACAGCAAAGTTGACTCCTGCCGGCGCCGAAGGGACTTATCAAGGATTTATAGGAATGATGTACTATGGAATAGGTATGTACTAAAATTATTTTCTTATGTATTTCAACCTAATAGTAATATAAAATATTTATTTGTTTTCAGGGATTCCTTTAGGTGGTCTAGTCTGTGCATTTTCAGTACATCGTGTGGGAATCATTAGTACATTCACATTGCTAAGTATAGTGGCGGCTATAGCTTGTATCACACAAATAATAATTAATATATTCGTTCGAAGATCAAAAGCCAACTCTATAGTTAAAAATGATGTTGAACCTAAAAATGAGCTGACTACCACTATTTAAAAAATAACGAAGTGACAAAATTCGCTTCTTATAATGCAAGCAACTATTTAAATGTACAGCTGTGGTATTTAAGCTTAGAGACAATATTAGTAGTTTAATTGTATGGTTTTTGTTTGTATCAGATAAAATCCCAGTTTCCCAATTGCTATTTTACTCGTCCCAATATTTTTTATGATGATGACAAAAGTTTCACATATTTTCTCTGAAAATAAAACCCCTGTTCCTAATTAAAATCCGATTAGTTTTTGCACTTATAAACAATAATTATCCTAAGTTACTACAACTAGATTATCTATAGCATTATATTATGTATACTTGTATTTTACTTCCTATACACTTAAACTGTTTTTGTAGTGTCAATATTGCATTTTGTTCTTAAGTGGACGCCACACCGACCATTTCTAAGGAGTAAAGTATAAGCAATTTTTTCAAAACATATTTTTCCTAATTCTCTTACGTTTTACTTTTTAGCTTCAGTACTTAGCTAAACATTTTTTTTACAACGATGAAATAAAATTTTATTAATTGTATCTTCTGATACAAAGCCAGAAATTACACTTTGACCGTAGTCAATTCCTAGGTTCTTACGTGTGAATCAACTGTCAATAAATATTCAAAAATTTGTTTAAAAATTATACTATTAGTTATAATGTATGTATATTGTATAACTATGACAATACATATAGACGGACAATCCACCCTAATAGTAAAAATACATTTATAAGCACTATATTGTTATTACGTATGTACGATCTGTAACATATTAATTGTATTTTTACCATCAGTGTCGAAGCGTTTATTTAAAAGAGTTTTTTATCACTTTCAGATGTAATAATTCTTATAGCTTTGTGTGACCTTTTCCGATCCTACTGAACTGACTTTTTTTAAATTTTTTTTTTCTTGTAAGAATTGACATAATTCATAATACGTACTCAAGAATAATTGTTTTATTACAATTAATAATAATATTACAATAATTATTATTATTGTTTGTACTATTACCTACAAATAAAAGAAAGGTCCACACGATACTAGGATTTTTTGAAAACTTGTAGAAACTCAGATGAAATTAAAAAAAAAGTTTTCAAAATAAGATAGCCGTTTTCGGGGTTCCAGTTTGATTGGTAGGTTGACTATACTATAAACTTTGGACCTACTAAAATTACCTAGTGTCTGACAGATATTTTGCTGAATGCATTCCATTTTGAAATGAATATGAATATGAATATACTTATTCAATAATAAATTATTTGAAATAACTAATATTTATAGTTTCAAAAAGTATTTAATTTTAATACATATTTCTTTGCTATTTCCAAATAACCTGTTATTAAAAAAATATTTTTTTAAATTTGAAACATTAAAATAAAATAAAAATAATAATATAAAAAAGAAATTTGAAACTATTACTTGTATATTTGTTTAAATAAAAAACAATTTTACTTTTGTAGAATTTGTATTTACATAAATAAATATTTAAATAATGCCCAGGTGTTGTTAAAATGCTGTACTCAAAAACCTAATTATTTTTTCAAAATATTTTCTTAAAAAATGGTAGAGCGGTCGAGTAAAATAACGTTAAATTTAGATACATTATTTTCTAAGCCGATTGGCCATGGATGTTTTTCGTCTGGCCACTGAACATTGATATTATTGAATGCAATATCCTAAAACAATTGACTAGTCTAGACATAGATAACGTTTAAATGTACGTGCCCGCAATACTGATTTGCAAGAAACAAGAACAAACCTTAATTGTGGTTACGTTATAAATTTACAAATTACAAAACGATCTAATCATGGTTTGAAATTAGTGTACTCTTATACAATCTCCAAAATCAGTGAGCTTTTGTTTTAAAAACAAAATTTTAGTGCTCAAACATTGCTTTAGGAACTTTTCGGCGGACTGGAAGTGCGTTCTTAGTCGCCGTTTATCGTCTTTTAAAAATATTTTCATTAAATTAAAATATAGTATATTTCAATTTGGAAAAAATATGTTTTACTTAATATATAACTTGTTTTAATTTTAAGTCTATATATAAATTTATATAAAATGGTATTTTTTACAATCAACAAGAAATACCTTATTCTCAAATTGAGTTTTTTCCTGTTTGACGGCGGTAAGTCGGAAATAAAATATATTTTTTTGTTCGATTTAAATATGTTTACATCTTTATAGTGCTTTTTTAACTAATAAAATTCAGTAAATATTATTATGTGAGTTCATTGTGAATAATAAGTTTTATAGCTTTGTCTTAAAAACAATATAAGCAGTACACAATTAATTCTGGTTTGAATTTATTTTCTTTATTTGAATCTAGACTCGGATATTCTGTTTAACATTTCTAGATATTTTTATAAATGAGGACTTGAAATCAATAACGTGTTAGTTGCCAAAAAGTTGATTTCGAGTTATTCATAATTTTTTGCCCCTGCGACCGGCAACAAGTATAGCAACGCTATCTAGCAGATGATTGTTGGCCCATTAGCATTAATGTAGGAACATATCACGTTTTATATGTTTTGGGCTTGGCACTTGGAACATTTTTCTAGGATAAACTCAGTTTTTAATTTTTTGGTACATTCCACGTTATAGATTTCAAGTCCTCAAATTACTTTTGAAGCCTAACCGGCTTTTCATGTTTTGTATGTGTTTTAAATTTTGTATAGATACATAAAAAATAGATTAAATTAGCTTTTAAACTTTTTTATTTCACTTAAATTTAAAAAAGATCTAAAAATCAATCATTTATCGTTATAATAAGTACATTTGTTTTTAAAATTTACAGTGTCCCTGAACTCAATATTTAAAAAAGAAATGTTTACAAATCTCAGATTTGTTGAAATCCAAAAATCCGGAATCCGAAAGCAATTGATAGTTGAGTGTTTTTGTTTTCATCAATATATTTTACTTAGGTACACAGCTTTATATTGTAATAATATTCAATACTTATAAGATTTTTAAGTGGCTTAAATAGAGATTTTTTTTAAGTATGGATTTTTGGATTCCTATCACAATATATTACTTTCTGTAAAAAAACAACCTTTATCACTTTTTTGACATCCTAAAATGGAGTTTGATTTTAATATACCCGCTATGTTAAAAACATTCAAAGTTCATCAATTTTCATACTCTGTTTCTGGTGTAACTGTTTTTTTTTTTTTTGTAGGTACTTCGCCAATTAATCCGTTTTTACCGCCAATTGCCAGACAGCGAGGTGTCTCCGTGTTCATAGTTGGAATTATTTTCACTTGTCTGCCTATTCTTAACGTTCTAATAAGACCTATCATTGGTTATGTCACGGATCGATGGCAGTGTCGAAGATCCGTATTCTTGGGATGTAACCTGATAAACGCAATTATAACTCCGGTTATACACTTCATACCGGGTAGATCGGAAGCTGAGAAATTAGCAGGCACTAGCTTATTGGAAACCTTCAACTTTTGGCTGTTCTTAGTTGTAATAATGTTAAGGACAGTATTGTACATGATTGGAGACGTTCTCCAAGACACAATCGCTATTGAAGTATTGGGTGAATATTACACAATAATCGGGTATTTTATGTATACGTTTCGTACTCAGACCACATCCTTTGCAGGTAGCGAAAGCCACAAGTACGGGATGCAACGCGTATGGGGTGCAATCGGATGGGGCTTGACTTCTCTGCTTACCGGTTGGTGTGTAGATTCATACAGCGCAGGACAAGTACAAAAAAACTATTTACCAGCGTACTTGATATCGACCGTTCTGCTGACGATGCACGTTATCGTCGGATCCCAATTAAAAGTCTGTTTTATATATTTTTATTTATTTATTGTTATAAGTACGGGCTGGTAGCATTACAATAGTATAATTCACATATAACCATAGTTTTGACATATTGATAATTACAAATAAAGGAAAATTTACAAGACAGTACATGAAGCGCCTAGAACAAAGGGGTATAAGTGACATTTTTACAAAATCTGAGTTAAGTCCACAGCGCAACTACAAATTGTTCATTTTATTTTGTGGTAAAGATATATAAGTGAATTATTCATCATTTGCTGCGATCTGGTAGCAAATCACATAACCCCCAAACGAAAACGCCATATGGATTTTCTCGAAATCAATAATATGTCACTTATATCCCTTGTGTTCTAGGCGCCTCATATATAATATTACGAAGAAGAGAAAGATGATAAAGAAATTAATATTTAAAACCTTTTAACCATAAAATCGGTCCGTCGTTAGCGCTGAAGATGGCAACATTGTTGCCGTAATACGTAAACGCAGAGAGTGTATTTATTTATCATATATAACCATAAGTTGCTCAAGTTTTTTCTAGAGAAAGATGTTTCTAAATTGACGATACGCATCATTCTTGCTGTGGGTTCATTTGTAACATAGATTTTTGTATGATATTAGAAATATATAAATATATAATAAAAAAACATATAGAAACGTACACTAATAACGAATAACTGACATTTAAACTTCAGAGCCAGCAACAGAACAGGCAGCAAATAAATATTTTCAAAGATGTCGGTATGGTGATATCCAACGTTAAGGTTGTTACTTATTTGATATGGGTCGCTGTGGCCGGTATGTTCACAGCTTACATCTGGTATTATTTGCTATGGTAAGTTCAAATTCTCGCCCTAACCTAACCTAGTGTCGAACTGGCAACAGTGAGCAACATCACACACTGACGCCTTACCCATTCGGTCACACGTCCTCTTAGAATTATAATAAAAAGTAAAAACTATGGTGTGTTCAATAATATAGTTGTATGTATTGTAGGCACATGGAAGAAATTGCAACATATTACCATCCCGAACGTTTGCCATACATCAAGACTATTCAAGGGTTTTCATATGCAATACAATGTTGTATTGGAGAGATCCCAGTTTTCCTAATGTTCTGTAAGTAGTTTGTTTTACTCAGACTTTGGTTGGCACTTGACAGTATGGGATTTATAAACTAGTAACAGGAAGTATTATTTTTTAGCGTCCATAGTGAAACGCATCGGTCACATGAAAGCTTTTACAATAAGTTTCGGAGTGTTTTCCTTCAGGTTTTTCCTGTATTCCATTATTAGAGACCCGTTGTGGATGTTGCCGGTGGAACTTCTCAATGGATTGACATTCACTATGGCGTTCCTATCGGGGATATCGTATGCAGCTAAAGTATCTCCTCCAGGCACCGAAGGAACACTCCAGGGACTTTTTGGCATGGCGTTTCAAGGAGTGGGTAAGAAAGTGTATAAGTACAACATTTGAACGCCTTTATAATTCTAGACTGCCACTTTGTTATTTTCTGTTTTCAGGGATAGCTTCCGGGTGTTTTCTAGCTGGGTATACTTTTGAAACCATGGGTAGTCTTTCCGCAATGAGATTTATTAGTTACATAGCCCTTTTTTTTTGTATTACCCAATTCGTTGTTAACATTCTAATAAACAGCTGTATACGATTCAAAGTAAAATCTAAACTTGACATAGTAGCAGTACAAGAATAATTGATTTATGGATAGTTTTTAACTCGTATATAAAAATTTTAAAATGACATTTATCACGTACCTCAATAGTAAGACTAACTCAAAACTGGTAATCGTATTACAACGGTTTACAAACTATAATGGATATACGTTTCTAACACATTCCACTCTATGATATATTAATTTCAAGATTCTGAAAAATATGATTAACATTATCAGAATGTTTTATTAATACTGTAAAAGTATTTTTAAATCTTATTTGATCGTAAAATTAAATATTTAGAACTCAAATGTTTCAATAAATGTCCTAAGTATAATAAAATAATATTCTTGTAATGTTTTCATCAAACATATAAAATAAACGAAAACTAATCCACAATAAAATCTATTAAGTACCTATGTTTATTTTATTTACAAAAAATTGTTTTGTTTTTATTATGTTCTACTCGTATAAAATGTTTGGTAGCTATCAACCGAACAAATTGTTTTTAGTAATAATAATTTTTAATTTAATTTTAAATTAAAGAACAATTACTTTTATTATTTCTATGTACAACAAATTAAAAAAAATATATACATTTGTCAAAGCATATTTATGATATTGTTATTCATTGTTTTTAAAGTTTTTTAGGTCAACTTCCAAGTCCTATAGATGCATTACAGTTTTTTTTTGTTTAATTACTATGTTTTTGCTTTTTACTGTAAGTATTATGCTGGCAAAATACATTATATTTTTTGATTTTTAAATTCTCAACACCATGACGTAAAAAAACAATACAAGTATTCAAGCCTTACCGATTATAATAATGAAAATCGATTTTATTATCAACAAACCATTAAATATTAGGTATGAGTAAATCTTATATATTACAGAATTACCCAAATATAAATATTTTAATTACAGGAAAAGCAAGTGGAATTCTAATTATATATATAATAAAAAAAAACTTTTGGCCACAACATAAAATTAATCATCACTTACCAATTGCTCGAGTACCGTGGTTACCATGGTTACAAACGAAGTGTTTATTTTGGGTTACTATGGTTACAAACATTTAATTTATTTACATTTCGTATTTAAAGTACAAAGTTCGTGTTTGAGGTCATCCTTAGGGGTGGAATTTTTTGAAAATTACTATGCCAGTTAGGTTCACAGGAGTGTACTCAACAACTTCCCAAAGTTTCACGGCGATCGGATGAATGGTGTAGTAATGCATAAAGAACAGACAGATAAACAGAAATTAAATTTATATATATATATATATATATATATAGAAGATAATATTGATAATAATAAAATATATTTCGATGCAATACTAAGTAGTTTTAAAACCTAGAAAATTTGTTTAAATAAATACTTTTGACATATTGTAATGTTGTTTATTTTGCAAAGAAATATGTATTTTATTAATGACTTTTTATATTTCATCAGTTGGTATTATTCAGGTACCTATTTAAACGTCAATCAGTTGAATAAAAAGTAGTTCACGCAGAATAGTTTGAAGTAGAACCAAAACAAAAAATTTAAAAATGCTATAAATTACCACAAATGTCCAAGTATATTGCTCATCAATTTATAAACTGTGGACCGTACTTATGTTGAACGTTGGTCAATTTGAAATGTACACAGCATTAATTTCGGTCTACATAGTACTAATAAATTATAATTGGTTTTAATTAATATGTACTAAGTGTACGTTACTCATAGTGTATCATTAAAAAGATATTATGAGTACTTAGTAATATAACCCGATGACAATATGGTCATCTTCATAAAGAATACAATATACAATTACAAATTGAATATACATATACAACAAAATTAGATTAGCCGCACCTCTATGATCAACTAATGTAATCAGTCTGAAATATTGGAATATTTCAAAATAGCTAACAGAACTTAGGTGTTAGTTAATTACCGTTACACGCTTCTAAAGGTTAGACCCATCGCGCGTCTTGATTCAGAAAAAACTTCTGTGGAAGGTCATTATATGGTTAAGCTATTTAAAACTAGAATGTATATATATTCTTTATGATTGAATTTTAAAAATATGATATTTTCGTTAAATATTTTTAATATGAAAAGTTGTTAAATTTTAACAGAAAATAATTAAGTGCAAGCATTTATTAAGGCGCATTCTATTTTGTATACTCGATTTTCAATAATACATTCTGCTAAAATTTGTTAACTAGTTAACTAACACAACAATAAGGTATCTGATCGATATTAAATTATAATTGAATACGATTTTTGTCAAATAATTCGGTTAAAATACATTTTCTAGTGATAAGTGTTCTAGCAGTGTCTTAAATACATTTATTAATTGATAAATTATACATGATTTGTATTATATTGTTTTAGTAATATACAATTTGTTAATAAAATCTTGATTCAAGTTGTTACTATTTGATAAAAGTCAAGTCGTTTAGCACTCTGTTTTTGGTCTGCTTTTACTGAAATACTCACACCCACAATTGTATTTTTCGTATCAGGATAGACACGATTAGGGTTGATAGACTGTCATACCTAATGATTGGTTTATGTTGTTACTAATAGGCAATATCGTTATCAACAACATATTACAAATATTTTTCTAATTCTACATTGGTAATTAATACATTCATATGTAGAAATCGGAAAATTTGATATACGGTCTGTGTGTTATTTTTACTTTTTTTTGTTTTTACCTAATAACTTGTAAGAGTTACCGTAATTCTAAGGTATACAATTCGTTAATTTTAAGGGTGTTTTTATGGATTAAAATATAGAAGATGATGTGAATTTGTTTAACTTTTCACCCAATGGTGTACTGCTTACATACGATTTCAGATTTATTGACTTGGTACATAAGAAATCGGCTCAGCGGCTTAAGGGATATCGTGGGGCCAGACAAAAAAATAAAAACACATCATTGTGAAACCTTCTCAGCTTTGCATGGTAGTCTAAAAGGAAAAATCCGACTGGTGAAGTATTCAATTTCTAGGTTGCTATTTGTGCATAAATCAACAGTCAACAAGCATCTGAAAAACATACATCTTATATTGTTGATTACGATAGTAATACATGGGTAACAAAGATCGCAAATTATTATTTAGACAGACAATCAAACAATTTGCACTCTAATAATAAAATTACAATTTTAAGAAAATAGTAGCCTTTACTATGATTTGTTTGCTAATGTTTCTGTTTTATTTTTAATTTATATATGGTCATCAATTCGGAAGAAAAAAAATAATAGTATTTTTATTTTTCAAATATTTTTATTGGTTTTTAAACTTTTTAAAATATTACAAGTTTTTTGACTGACCAGTCAAAATTATCAATAGATTATTCTGAATTTACACACGATACCATTTAAAGATGAAAACTGAAATATCTATTGTGATACTTTGTTGTTGAGGAAATCTCGCAAAAGAAGTAATACGATTTATTTTTGTATTACTTATTTTTATTATTCATACCTATTGAATATGTTTTACCATCCACAGTTTCGCATCGAATCGTTGAATAATTATAATAATTCCTAAAAAATTGTGTCCTCTGCGTCCTGATTATCAATCGATCCTATTATGTTGTTTTTTACTACTATGTATATGTGAAACTGTTTTTTAAATTTATTTTCTTGGAATTAGTTCTAAGTTGCCCGTCTTTGAGAGTAGATATAGTTTACTTATTATTTAAAGTATAATTTATGAGCAAAAAATATATTTTTTGTATTCCAAGGTTTTACTTTTTATACTCAACACCTTTCATTAAAAAACGATTCACTTGTAAACTATTCGAGCCTCATGCCTTATTGAAAACTGGCGGGTATATTGGGTCAACTGGTGATTAATACTTATTTATTATATACAATACAAATTACCTTTTCCAATTATGGTTACTATTCTATGAACTGAAATACAAATCATAAATAATTATGGCATATCAAGTAAAATGGAAAATACGTGTAGTGAACAAATATGAAGTGAAAAGTGTAACGTTAAACTGAATTTAGTATTTACCCAATCGCATTGCCGTTGCCTGTCAATTTCTGAGCACATAACCTTTACACATTACGTAGACAGCACGACTCGCGCAAATGAGTTGTGACTAACATTTTAGACTCGCTTAGTTAGACATTAACCACGTGTATTTTTATTGAATTCGCCCGTGAGTATGAATATTCATAGAAGAGCCGTGTTGAACGTTATTTTATCCTCGTTTTATACATTTTTTTCCGCGACAATATACCTGACAACGCGCTTAAGGACACACACATAAAGTTTAATCAAGATCGCCAATAAGTACGTATCAACTTCTGCGTGCATCTCTACCGTTTGTGCTCAGGGTTAGTATTTTAAAATAAGATAATTAAAACACTTAAGCGAACAATGACAGGAAAGAGATAATAAATAATGTTTGTAAAAACATGTCTTAATAACCTCATAACTTTTAAAATAGGTATTCTTAATTAAGTACACGCCATTATTTAAGTTAAAACTAATCTAAATCTATAAAATCCTTAGCTCCGATAAAACTACCTTAATTAAACTACCTACTTGAATATTATATAATAATTGTTGTTTTAATGACATAAAAAACATATTAATTAATATACTTGGCATAGTGTAGTGGTTTTCTTAGGGGCCGCTCATATTTATTAAGAAGTAGAGTAAAAGCAACTTATCCTTAAAAACTTAAACAGAAACTAAAAATTGTATGCTCATGTTATATTATAATCATAACAAAGTTAAAACTTAATCCCATTAAATATTTAATATTTCTTCGGTGGGCGGCAATATCTAGTTAGGTCCAATTTTAGCAAAAAATAGAAAATGCATTCTGAAAACAATTAAAAGTTAAACTTTCAATTTTGTTGAAAATCGACTTAACTAAACACATTTTACACAACCGTTTAACTAGCAGACAAAACATATCTGAAGCGTTGCACTGAGAAACTAAACAATTTTAGCCTAAATACATAAATAAAGTCTAAGAATATCCTAAATTTTGGACAAATTCGTTGTTTTGACAACAATTATTAAAAATTGTTCGAATTTTATAAATTATTTTCCTTGCCATTTTTTTGTGTCACAATCGTCAAAGTTCTAATGTAGTTTTAGATCAAAATACTCATTCCTCGAACAAGTGCATCTTCCGGAAATGTTTTTCGCGAAAAACAAAAGTAGCGTGGCTCTCTCCTAAGTGACTGCAACTATTACAATTTAAAATATACAATTTTAGAAACGAAAAATAATCAAAATTACAAATTAAAATTAAGTATAATTCGTATGATTCAAATTTTATTTTTTTCACACTTAAATGTGAGTATGTGACCAAAGATTTCGCATCTACTATTGTATAAGATCACTTGGCGCATAAAATAGTGAATACATAACCAATATTGCTAACATCCGGCATTATTTGACTTTGTACTATAAAATTGTAATACGTGGGTATTGTAATATCGCGTAGGAAATTGGAAATGGAAAATTTCAAGGCCATGACCCATTATAATATTATTTAGTTTAGTTAGTGATTTGTTATCTATGGTCAATAATGATTCATTTATATTTTATACTTTTAAAATTCAAGTGGTTTGATCAGAATTATGCGAAGGTACTTATAATAATAATAATATCTAACAAAGGTATCGTTTGAGTCTTATACATAGAACGTTGTGTGGGACGTTAAAAATAAAAATATATAAAATATTATTACAGTATTCATAAATAAAACAAATTGTTAACTTATTGAATTAATTAGCAATGGGTTTTTGTAAAGAGTTTTAACCTCTACTCATTCCGCCGCCCTGTCTAGATAAATCACTGTTCAGCATACCTACACAGTGTTTTTTACACTCCCGGTTACTTATTTATTAATTTTATTGTCCGTAATGACGGTAAATCCATATAGGATATACTTAAAGCAATAAATTAAAATACTAAACAATAACCAGTTTAGATAAAACATTTAAAAAATAACACGCATTAAAAAAGATGAAGGTAAAGTATAATAAATGCATGAATAATGGTAATATTATGTAATTATTATTCTTCATTTTATTTTATTAGTATCCGTAAAATTAACCGTACAATGGCCAACAAGGTTTAAAATTTAAAACTGGTTATCAAATGTTCAGTGTTTAACACATTGTTAATAGACCATTTTTGTTTTGACAAACAGTTAATTATGTAGTTATTGATTTCATGCATACAAAAAAAAATATTTATTGATAAAAATGAATTAATAATAATTAGTATTTAATATACTACCTACATAATATTTATTGCAACTCTCTATTTCTATTTACATCACCTTAACTTACGTCATATCTGTAAGTTGTAACTGATAAATATAACTAACATACATTTTAATAAATCTATACAACTATTACTTAACATTTTTAGACCCGAAGTAACACGAAAAGTAATTTCCATATCCGGAAAATTAAAAAAAGAATTACTAGAAAAAAAATTCATATACAAATTGTGAGTTTTTGTGATTCTTATAAAATATTAACTATTGCATAAAGAGCCTGTTTTTATTTTTTTTATTGCTTTAATAGAATATAGTATTTAATAGTTAGAAGTAATAGATCATTTTTATGCATTTTATCTAAGTATTTTTTTAAAGTGATAATAAAACGAGAAAATTAAAACATAACTATACTTAAATAATATATATGATAAAAATGTTAAACTAAAAACTAGAATTTCTTTTAAAAAAACTTAATTATTTAATGCAAAAAATGTTTGATATGCGGTTTTCTTAACCCACTTAAAACATTCAAAACTAAATTTAAATTAAAGTATTTTTTTAAAGTCCAAAAGAGTTCAGGAACTTTTTCAAAAAGTTCCATTTTGACCGTTATAAAAAAATATAAAAAAGTTCAACATTTTTTAATTTTTGCATTAGCAAATCTTACAACTTTATCTCTTCAAATTGTAATTGAAATTACATTTCAAGTACGCATGCTGTCAATGGACTTTAGGACGGTCGAGTGGGACTGATAGGGAGTGAATTCCGCGGGTAAACATAATAGTCATTGTTCTACGACGCGACGTTCGATTGTAATAGAATAAATTCTAACCGGAAGCGTTAAAATGCTGATTTATATAAATATATTTTTTTAAAACAAATATCATGACGTGCAGTAATTTTTTATACTTCGTATAATTTTCAAATAATTTTCTCATTGGATGTTTTTATTGATAAAATATGTTATAATGGTCACCGTGACCATTGCCAGATGCCAGGTGACATATTTAACCGGTTTAACGATCGGATTACTGAAAGCCGTGCGTGTCCACGTTAATAATAATCATAATACATTCGCAAAGCGCTTAAACATATTTTTTAAGAGATAAAAATGCGAATTCCACCACTATACTTCAGTATGGTCACGAGGGGAGGGAGGAGGACAGCGCACATACAGCGCTAGTTAACTCGTTTTATACTTGGCCGTTAATGTATTCAGAGTGACAACTGCACCTAACGCGCGAATAAAATAATTTTTAATTCGATAAAGTCCTTAAGATGACTGTTGAAATACCGTTGGTTTTCCCGTTGTCATTGTCAAGTATCCTCTTTATCGGCAACTATTACAAGTGTATTACTAATGTCGGGCCAATCGAACGGCTGCAAAACAACAAACGTACTGTTATTTAAACTATGTTTTGTCTATTTAATATCCAACAATAATAATAATAAAAATTTCATAAGATAGTAGTAGTAGTAACCGACGCAAAACGTTTTTTTTACTTGCATTTGATGATTTCGCATCGTGCATTTATTTTTTATTCGGTTACATCTCATTGACGTCTCGGATTTGCAAAGTCTAAGGCGTGCTGTGGTGTATGCATACGCTCACTGTACGGCTACTAAAAGTCCAATACTGTTAAAAAAATTGCCGCACTTGTGTTGTACCAGGTCATACCACCGTGAGACACTCTTGGAATAAGTGAGTAAAACGTATTATTTAAAATTATCCACCGTATTTAATTGACAAGTATTTTTATCTAAAATCTTTAAATTAAAAAAAAAAATTGTATTTTTTAATTTAATAAATAAGAAACCGCAAAGAATTTGAATTGAAAATGTGATTAATTATTCAATTAAAATTGTATTATTCGAAAATTACCACGATACATACCATAGATATATATATATATACACCTATACCTAATCCACATTTTAAAAAAAAATTTACGTAAACGTATAAAAACTTTGTAGGGTCAAGATCAAGGGGGATTTTTCTGTTAGAAAAAACTACAAATAATTGTGTTGAGTTAAATACTGTAAAAAACAATAAAATCTTAAAAATAAAAAAATCTCAGTTCAAATTTTAAATAGTCGGTCATTTTATTTAAAAAAAACACGCTTGTCTTCACTTCATTTAATTACAAATACTTGTATGTTTGAGGACATTAATTGTAGGTGGTATTTTATAGCAAATCGTATAATTACTTGAAGAAAAACTAAATAATTTTTCAAGAGGACAATAGTTTATAAAGAACTAATATTTTTTATAATTGATAACAGTTATAATCATTAAAATAGCTTTATAACAAATAATATTGTTATTAGCTATACTGAATAAATATTTATAATATATAGGTAATATATTCTTAAATAGAGTAAACAATTATATTAAGGCCTAGGTACAAATATTGTTGTGTGTAAATTGTTCGAATAAACACCAAAGCCAGTTAAACAGTTAATATATATTATGTTGAAAATACTAATTAATAATTTCAAATAATGTATAACAATCGAGCCTTGTCTCTTTAGTAGAATTTTTGAATAACAACTATTAATAATTTTAGGCGTAAAACTTTTACCTTTTTTTCTAAAAACATTCTGTCCAAATCGTTCGTGTATCCAATACGAACAAAATAAATGAACACCGAATGTTGAGTAATGGTGAAAAAATGCATGTAAAATAAAAGATAAAGCTTAGTACGTTGTAATATTATTCTAATGAGTTTTAAGCAGAAACCAAACCGCATAAACAAACTAACTAAACAGAAATTTATCTGTAGCCGAATGAACACGATTAATTGTAAAATTTCATAATCAAACAATTTTGTTTAATTAAATCTTACTAGGAGAAATGACCGCCAGTGGCGCTCGCCGCTTCCTGCAGGTTTGCATGGAAAAAAAATCTTTATGCTTTATTAGTCTCCCACAAGGATCCGATAACCTTGTAGACACGTGCACGGCATATGACACTTAGTAATAATAATTATAAAAAAAATTCATTAGAAAAATTTGATCTACATAACATTACTTCCAACGTAGAGGATAATCTAAGACACGTCTGAATCGTAGAACTACTAACATTGTTATCGATAAAAATTATTATCACAATAATGATTGTTTACAAGTCATTGTTCAACGCAAATCAATTAGTACCTTTAATTGGCGCTCTTCAAATTTTTAGAATACGGTTTTGATTTTCTCTCTATTGTAAACACTTCACGCTGTATTAACAAACCCTTTTTAAATCGCTTAGAGATTAGATTTGTTTTATAAATAATAACGTGTTATATATTATTATTATATTGCAATAATATTATCAGCTATACTAAAAGAGAAAAAAATTACATCGTCGCGTCGGTAAAAATATTGATTAAAACATAAGACACGTCCGTTATTTATAATATCAAAACACTAAAAGTGTGTAATGCGTAAGTAGAACTGCGCAACACAGAGGTTGTTCTGCTCACTCGGTACCATCACGCCTGTCCGGAAAAATGAGGAGGGGGTAGTTGAATGATAAATGTAGTGTTATGTGCATATATATATTGCACATAGTAGTTAATATATTGTAAAAAGGTAAGTATTTGTTTTTAAGAACAATTGTGTAGTATTAGAAAAAAAAAGTTTATTGGTGTTTCAATTAACACGTTCAACTCACTATTGTCAAAAATTGACATTGTACTTAAAATATACCCAAGATTCTTGCTTTTAAACAAATGTCTAAAAATGGAAACTTGTTAATTTTTTTTAGTAAACGAAAACCAGCAAAACCAAATTTGACCAATCACTTTGCAGACAATGAAGGGCTTGAATATAAACAAAAAACTAATACTGATGAAAGCATGTTTTTTTATTTTTGATTTCGGTAAGTATAATATAACGTGAAGCATTTTTTTTATGTTTACGATTTTAAAACTTAACGCGTACGAGTGGAATAGTTGATTGCCTTAACGTATGTTGACTTACAAATAACAAATACACATATTTTATTATTTATAAATGATTTGGATTTTCTTTTGCGGAGAATAGACCTGTCATAATTTAATGAATTTGTTGTTCTTTTATGTAAATATGTGCTCAGAATTAAAATTTTTTATTGTTTTTGCTACAGTCGAGTTCTTTTAAATTGTTTTTTTTATTTACGACCATTTAAAAGAACTAACCTACTTAAAGCAGTTATCATACGTTACTATCGCGTTTTGTGATTTATTATGTTTGAAAGAAGTGTATGTTAGTGGTTCAGAGGCATTGAACGTTATGTTCAATAGATAAGTATTGATAAGTATTTATCAGGAAAAACGAAATAAGTTAAAATAATATCATAGAATTAACAGTAATAACTAATAGTGCACTGCATTAAATGATAATAAACACATTGATAGAAATAAACAAGAACCCTTGTTGTTTAGACAACAGATATTAGAAGTTATAAGCATACTGTTGATAGAGTCTACCAATCAATTTGAATACTATTTTACCTCCACCGTACACGTGCGGCATGCTATTACTATTGGTTAACCCACAATAATTTAGGATACCCTAGGCTGGATAACTAGCTCATACCGTCCCTTATCTATATCGGCTTTATGGGGGAGGGGAATTGCCCACCCTGTCCCATCAAATGACACCATTGAAAACATGCAAGTACATAATTTTCCGAACCCTAAGATTACTTTCTTTCAGTGATAGTTTAAAAACATATGAAAAAGTATTTATTATTTATTTATAGTTAAGTTAGGAAGTAAGGTTCATTTGGAACAAGCATTGGTACCTCACCTAAGATAACGCAACAATACAAAGAACTAAACTCTGTCAAAAAAAATAGAATTTGACTTATAGAATTAAACGTATTACCCTATAGTAATCAGTCTTGAAGAAAAGTCATTGTCCATGATATTTTACCCTATCTATAATGATAGAATAGATTTAGCCTTCAGGTGCTAAAGTATTCTTAATTTTCTTGTTGTGGCTTTAAGTACATAGAAGCGATAATATACACTAACATGTTTTACGGTAAGGTTGTTTCTATGTCCTTAAGTAGTTTTTACTGTTATTATAAGTCAACTGTGATCAAAAAACTATTTTGGTTGTTTAGCTTATGCGTAAGTAGTATAACGTCTAATAACAATATGTCTAATTATTTATTTATTTAAAGTTTTAACACCCCGAAGGGGTAATGAGTACAGGTAATAAGAACGGGCGATTATTTCTTAAATTAGGTTGGAATTTTAAAATTTATTTTGCTCAGAAATTCTAGACAGGATAATTTACCATTTATTAATTTATAAAAAAAACCTTTGTCATTATATAACCTTCTAGAGGCCAATGATTCTAAACCCAATTCTGCAGGTAAAATATCTAGAGAGATATCCACTCGACCTAATTTGTGTGCCATTATTCTTAAAAAACGTCGTTGGATTTTTTCAAGTTTATCAATTAGATTATTTTGTTTGGGACTCCAAATTACTGACACTAATTCTAATATGGACCTAACGAGAGAGTAATTAATATCTTAAGACAATGAATACTTTTAAATTCGGAAAAGTTTCTATTTATAAAACCAATGGCTCTCAGAGCTTTGCTATAAATAGCATCAATGTGGACATTAAATGTGAGACCAGAGAACAATAAAACAATTAAGTCCCGCACAGTAGTTGAAATGTTTAATTCAAAATTGTTTATTTTGTATGGCGCTATGGTTTTATTTTTTAGACGGCTAAATGAGACATATTTGCACTTAGATGGGTTTACTCTAAAAGACCGTTTCGAATGCACCATTATGCAAATTATATCATAAATTTAATACGATTTTCTTGCACATGATAATACATAATTTGTATTTATTATTTGCTTAGATGTATTTATGTGATGAACGTTTCTTAATCGTTACGAATAAATAATAATATTTATATGTAGCAATAAAATCATTTAATTACCATTACCACATAATACCGCTTTAAACCATCCTAAATATCTCGAAACGTTTTATTGCTTCATATAAACGTAGTAAATATTTAACTAAACTCTTTAGTGGGTTTAAAAAAAAAATAGTAATAGCTGATATTGGTTTCCTTAGCTATATTACTTTAAATCATTTCAATTTTCAAGTGCATGAGATTTTAAACTATAATAGTTATATTTTTAATCGTCTTAAGCCTGATTAAGTTCTACAGTAAATATGTACGTTTAACATTTGCTCATGCTGAGTAATAAACTGCTATTGCCACGGAATGACATTAATGAGAATTAAGATAATAAAAATAAATAAATTATATAACATTTACTAATAATTTATATTTTCCAGTTTTTCAGAATCAATCAACTTTTTTTACTATATTATTATTAAATTTGTTAAGCTATTTTAAGTATGTCCTTGTACAATTTTTAGGTATTATATATTTACATAACATTTATTGTAAACTAGAAAAGTATAATATTATTATGAAAGGTATTCGGAATGAAATGAAATTAGCCCCTCAGGTGACTCATTGTAACAAGTTGTATGAAATAATTATAATATTTCACAAAAATTTTAGTATAAATAATATACAGAAACATCCAATACAATTTTTAAATACTCTTAATTTCATTTTTTTAAACATCAAACAAACATAATACATATTCCATTTTACATTAAACATTTGGAAAATATTGTTATTTTAGAATTTTCAGATGTCAGTTATAATAACCAAACCAATGACAGGTAGCCTTTTTTTAAGACAGTAGCCAAGTGGTGTTATATGTAGGGTATGTATTATATTTATACATATTTGTCATGAACAGGAAATGACGCTGTGACTATTTATTCTTTTAATTATTAAGCGGGGTTTCTGATCAATAGGAAGACTGTTTCAAATATTTGTTTACGAAAATCTATAGAACGTGCGCACAGACGAAAAAAAAAATTACACTAATTATAGCTGTTGTAAAAATAACATACATAGTTACTTGGTCTGTATTGCGCTATGACGTATTGTTGCCAGAGCGCGATGGCTCATTTTAGTCAAATTCGTGTGTAAATTATGCTGATTAGTTGTGTCGTTAGACAGTGTAATTTATACTTGCAATATTATGCTCTAAAATAACCTAACTTATCGTTTAGGTCGCAAATAATTGGATTAAACTTTCTGCGTTTATTTATTAGCAACTGCGCCGATCAATCCGTTCTTGCCGACAATAGCCAATCAACGAGGCGTACCAGTGTTCATAGTAGGATTATTTTTCACCTTTTTGCCCATCCTAAACGTCTTGGCGAGACCTTTCGCCGGTTACATCACAGACCGATGGCAATGTCGCAAAGCCGTGCTTTTGAGCGCCAGTTTGATAAACGCTTTGCTGACTCCCACTCTGCATTTCATTCCTGCCCTGACGGACCAACAAAAGGCGGATAACGTGGACGTGGTAACAACATGGGGATTTTGGCTCTTCCTACTGGTCGTAACGGTCAGGACGGTACTGTGGATGGTCGGTGACGTTCTACAGGACACTATTTGTATTGAAATCCTAGGTAAGTGTCACCAGCTATGTGGACAATGAGATAAAGCCGATAAATGACACGATTATATACGCGTCTTTGTTTCCCAGGCAAAGATAAGAGTAAATATGGCGGACAGCGGATATACGGCGCCATAGGCTACGGTCTGAGCTCTGTGTTTGTTGGATGGTGTGTTGACACTTACAGCAGAAATCTAAAAGAAAAAAGTTTTCTACCGGCTTACATGATTTCCACATGTGCACTGATTATCCATATTTCCATCGCTTCCAAATTAGAAGTAAACGATTGATAGTCGACTTGAACTATTTGAAATAATATGATATCGTCGCTGTTTTAGAGTAAACAAAACAGCAGTTCAAAGAATGTCGCCAAAGCGGTCGGCGAAGTTTTGTCCGACGTCAAAGTCGCGTCCTTCCTCGTGTGGGCGACCATGAGCGGTGTATTTACGGCTTTCATTTGGTTTTACTTATATTTGTAAGTTTTTTAATCTTACAAAGAATCATTATTGGTACACATTAGGCTCCTATACTATACGTATACATTACATACATTTCATTTATAATGCGAGTAATACGTTTTTTGTTTTTAATATTGATAGGTATCTTGAAGATTTGGCGGAATTTTACCATCCGGAACGTAAACCTTGGATAAAGACTATCGAAGGGTTTTCGTTTACAGTTCAGTGCTGCATTGGTGAACTACCTGTTTATATTATGTCAGGTAAGTTAACAGTTTCTCTGCTAAACTTCCTACTACATTATATATAAATTGTGATTTCTCTGTTATTTAGATATTATATTGAGAAAAATTGGTCACATGGCAGCTTTTTCGGTATCCTTTGCAATGTTCTCTGTTCGATTTTTCTTGTACTCGATAATTAACGATCCGCTTTGGGTATTACCAGTTGAACTGCTCAATGGTGTGTCGTTCGCCATGTCCTTTTTATCTGGGGTTTCGTACGCCGCTAAAGTAGCACCGCCTGGAGGAGAAGGCACTCTACAAGGGCTGTACGGTATGGCGTTCCAAGGACTGGGTAAGATACTAACACAAAAAAATCAATCCCAGACATGAAGTAATTATTTTATCGATTGCTCCATAGGAATATCGTTGGGTTGTTTTGTGGCTGGTTACACGTTCGATACAATGGGAAGTTCCAATTCGTATAGGTTAATGAGTTACGTTGCTTTTATTGCGTTCATTACGCAAGTAATTGTTAACCAAATCATTCAAAGGAGGAGAACAAAAAAACAATTAGGTACATGAAAATGTAGAACCTTGACAATGCTAACATGTATTACTGTTTTTTTAGAATATCCAATTTAGGATAGCACATACGTTACAATAAAAAACAGAGCTGAATTAGTCTGTGAGCTAATAGTATTTACTCTGTGAGTAGCGCGTTTTAAACGTTTATTTATTATTTTTGTTTAACTTAAAGTGTTCTTTTCGTTGAACTATAATGAATAAGCTCATAGTGGGAACTACCACTATTTATTTTAATTTATAATTGTAATTGTAGTTCATTATATGTTATCTATATTATTTGTTCCTAAAAATATATAAATAGTAGACAAATGAAATATATCAGTTAAATCGTCGAATTAAATCTAATTGTATAATTTGAATTTCAATATTTCATTCTAAACCAAAAAGAAGGTAGAATTATTTTAAAAACATCATATTAAAAAGTTTTTAGGCAAATTGTTAAAGAATACGAATGTACACAAGCACAATAATTTATATAATGTTACAATAAAATGTATTAATTGTAACAAAAAAATACTTAATGCACATAATATTGTAAATATTTTTCGAAAAAAGGCGTTGCGCCGTTAATTTATATAGAAAAATTTTAGTATAAAAAATGTAAACAATAAATTACTCATTAAATAAGAAAATTCTACTATGTATGTAGTTCAATTTTGAAAATAAATTCATCTGTTACTTTTGTTATTTGTTTTGGATAAGCATGACGCCGATTAAAAAACTAGAAAGACTAAACAATAAATAACGATAATTCTAAATACGTCATAGAAACAGAAAATGTATCAAATTAAGACATAACTCTTTTTGCTCTAGCTACACAAAATTTAGAATAATAGAATTTCAAAAAAAATATGCTCATTACTTTAAAACATAAAAAAAACATCTTTTTATAGTTTATATTTGATAGTGTGGTCTAATTAAATATTTTATTTACATTACAAAGTTAAGCATTACTCAAACAATTTTTTTGTCTAGATGAAGCGATGATTAAAAAAAAATCTATTATTTAATCTTCTACTGTTCGGTTATTTATGAAAAAAATATTTGTTGTTTATTATTAAATTCAATTTTCAAATAATAATTATAAGAAATACAATAAATAAATTATCTCAGACAAACATTTTTTTCAAATAAACAGTATACTTTTTTTTATAAAATATTTAAAAAAAATGTTTTATTTAATATTTATAAAATGTATTTTAAATAAGTTTAATATTATCGAATAAAATTATTTATATATAACCAACAAATATGTTTGTACATTATTTTTGCATAATTAATAACATATTGTCTACTGTCGGTATATTGGAGATTAGAACCATATTTTGTTGGATGTTTTTGTTTTTTATATTAGTATAAAGGCATAACAGATATGTAAATATTGTTTTCATTGCAAAAGGCGTAAATATTTGTATAACCAAGCAACTGATATGAGGCCTGACCTAACGACATGACGCAGAACCCATTTTACTTACTTGTACTGTTCGAGTGACAAACGTAAAATATTTTTATTATCAATTTTAACAAAAACTGTATACATTTGCTTTATTAACCATTTGTTAACAATTATAGGTGGTGTCTTCACACTGTGCTACCCATTTTTCTCTTCCTTTTGTTTTGTTTGTAGTTAATAATAGTCAATAGAAATTATTTATTTGGGGTTATTTCAGCACAGCAATATTATATTATAATAACATTACTATATGATAAATGATAATATCACATAATCGTTATCGCAATATTTTTAATAATGTCAAAATATGTTTACGTAATAATATATTATATTATTATTATAGTTTTGTATTATACATCATGACGTATTGGCATATCTTTTCACACCTGAATTGAGTTGCATAAAAGAAATCGTTTTTTGTTGAAAATGACGTATTTGTATTTTATGTTTATTGAAGGAAAAAAAGGAACCTTGTTTTGGTTTTTTGTTGCCACGTATTATTATCTTTAAAAGATAAATCGTTACAAGAGACAAGTTAAAAAAAGTGTCAACTATAATGAAGTGATAAAAAACAAAAAGGATACAATTTTTTCTAAGTGACAGTTTTTTCAAAAACGAGTGTTTGGCCATACATATGGGTATGGCTTTATATGTTAAGTGTACTTTTTTCTACTTGTAATTATTTTAAGATTTTTCTTCAATTTTCAAACGAAATCTGAGATACAAACATTCTTATTTTTATTTTAAATGCTTGGATTATTAAACAGATATACAGTAAAATGTAAAAACATAATTTGTTTAAAAACTATTATTGTTACTTAGTTAGATATTATTCAAATTTCCATCCCCAATTTGAGCACCAGAGTGACTCATTTTATGATAGGGTTTATACAATTATTGGCGTTTTTATTACAAGTTTTCTGTTCTAGGAATTTTTACTAGGTATTCTTATATATTTACTAGTTCGGTTGGACTTTGACACTTACATACCAAACATTTTCTAAAATATATTATAATAGAGTACACTCTAAAAGTAAAATAAGGAATTTTCTATTCTATAGTTAAACAACAATATAGGTATTTAAAAACCCATTCATCACAAAAATAATACATGGTGGCGTATACGCGTATTTCGGTAGCAACGTTATCATTTTCAGCGCTAACGCCAGACTTGGCACTGAGTTGTGAACTCATTACTATTATATCCGTTGTTCACGGTTGAATAAAACCAACAAAGAAACACTCACTTTTTAGTACTACCGTAGGTAGATAGATAGCATTAGAAAAATCGAGTAGTGGCGGTAAGTTGTAATAATACAATACTAACTCAGTGATCAAACATTCAAACAACAGATAGGCGACTCAGTCGTCAATCGTCATACACCGTCGTATAATATATGTGTATAGACGACTACGGTGGCCTGTCCGTCGTTACTAGTTTACATAGCTTAGTAAATTGAAGTTCTAGAATCGTATTACAACAAAATAAAGAGTACCGACTCACTTCAAGGCAATAATAATATGTAGTGTGCGTTTTTTTGCTTATAATATGATTCCATAACGGTAATGCCTTCGGTTGTTCGGTTCGTTGAAATGTTTTCAAGGAGAATAATATTATCAGTTAATACATATTGCAACAGACTAACAATTCAAATTTTTATTTTTATTTTTTTAAATATTTTTGTAGTGTGGCGTTTAATTGAACGGCATTGCCATTGATTATCAGCTACAATCTACATTAATTAACAATGGAAGCGCCTATCGCGTTATTGACGAAATATTCAAAATAGTAGTGTACACTCAGCTGCTTGGTTACTACGGGAGTCAGTATAGCCCTAAACCGGTTCGTACAGTCATACAATATCACCGACTACCTTTTTTTTTTAAGCTGTCTAGTGAATTTTTGTTTTTGGCAGAATTATTCATACTAAACAAAAAACATCAAACCTAAAAAACTCACGATTTTTTAACGAATAGCTGCGGTATTTGTATGGTAACTACAAAGTAAGACTTTATTTACAAACGGTATATATTTTTTAGCTGCCACAGTGTTATAGCAATTTTGGGAGGATAACTGTAATAACTCGATACCTTCTCACCTACCGCATCGAACTCTAAAAATAAAAATGTTTAATTGTAAAATAGCAATTTAACTTAATGTTGACAAGACTTTTGACCGGCTTTAACTTTGGAAACGTTTGGCAGTGATATATGTATAAACATTGATTTTAGAATATACAGATAAGCGGTGCTTACGCAAAAATGGCGACTGATTTTATGTAAGCCTCTCGCTGGCAACGGAGGTACCCTCGCCATAGTTTATGGGCGGGCGGATGCCAGCAGAAATTCCATATGAAATCGGTCGCCGTTTTTTGTGTAAAGCTATGGTGTAAATCTTGTTTACCAGACACCCTTTTTTTTAATCGATAGTACTTTTAATACTGATTACGAATCTGCAAAAATATTGCCTAGCTCGCACTTAGGCATTTAAAGATCGCTCGTTATACTGGTTACGTGCGGGCGTGCACTTTACATTATCGTATATATTATATTACAGTTACTGCCATTGCGAATTAATGCCCCCGCTCTTCGTGGTATTTTTTTTTTACCAGACGCGCGAAATACTGATAATGCACACATTATCATGTACATTATGATGTACACACACAGACCAAGTTAGTAGTTAGTACAGAAATCTGTGGCGCGACATCTCAATCATCTTATCTAACCTTCCAAATGCGTTTTTCCTATGATTATCGCATCAAACGTTTATTATCTGCAAAAAGAAGCCCAATCAACGACAGTTTGATTGACAGTTCGTAGCAGCATTTCAATGACGTTTGATGGATAATATTCATGGATCATAAATTAACAAACTACAAATTCAGGTCAGTAAAGGTAAGTGGGACCGTATTAGAATAAATAACTAAAAAAAAAGAATGGTTAATTTAAAAAAAAAATATTTTTACCTGTAATTGCAAATTATATTTTTCGTTTTATCCTACATTTATACTTTTAGTTGTCGATAACACTATAATCGGTTATTGAAGTCATTAAATGGTCTTTCGAGCACTTTCGTGTGGCCGGAGGAACATTAAAAAAAAAAATGTATTCATTTATTAAAACCAGACCATTTCAATCGTACAAATGTACAACGTTCGCTGTAGCCATTTTGGTAGCTTATGAAATTTTAGCCTTATAGGCAAAGCGTAATATTGCGATAACTATAATAATGCAATAAAAACGTGAGCTGGAACAGATCTTATTTTGGGATCTCGGCGCGCGTAATATCACGGCGCCTTGCATTACACGCGACTTTAAGGCCCAACGCACACTAAAGTAGTGAGACGGTGGCTTTTTTACTGCCCGCTACTTGCAGTGAAAAACATTTGTGCTACCCATGTATTCCTATGTGAGTGCCCACACCTATGCAGTGTGGTGTAAGTGGTGCAGCGGTGGCACGCTACCGTGTGGCGGTCGTTGGTGGCTTATTCGTTGCAGTTGTGTGAAATAAAAACTGGATTTTTGCTTATTTGACGGAAAAACGGAAAAGAAAGCAGAGAGGTTGGACGAAGGAATGGAATGCCGTATCCTTCTTACGTCTATTTTTGTGCATGTCACATTTCATTTTCCAAAAATTATTACTACACGCCTAATTTATGTATAATATGTTTTAAATTTTTATCTGTGGTCTTTCTACGTGTGATGTTTGTCAAACTGCAAACACTGCCATAGACGATCAAACCGCTTGTCAAGCGCTAGTGTTTGCGCAACATATTTCGGTCTCGACCGATTTCATTCAAACCGTTGTGTAACTACTCAATCCGTACTATACACCATCAAAATGTTTGCACAAACACAGTAGTTGCACAAATGGTTTGATCATGGCTTTAGAAGCACTAAAATCTTCGTCAGAACTTGACATAGTTAAAATTTTTAATTAAAATAAATTATTTGCAAATTTGGGTTCAACAAAAGTTCAAAATATACAAATATATAATATCGTGTTTTATTATAATATTTAGGTTAAATGCCTATTTATAGTGTTATCTATGTTATTTCTGTTATGTTATGTCATCTCGGTGTTATCTATGCTCCGCTTCCTCGCCACACTACCACCATGCAACATTGGCGTGTGCCCGGCCTTAAACGTCGTGGGTTTGGAAACCAAAGATTCTAAAGTAAATTTTTTCAATTTTGATCAAATTTAACTAAGTCAATGAAATTAAGAAATAAAAGGTGCCTTGTTGACATGGTTTTACCAACGACACAATAATTATTCTACGATAAAAACAAAATTGTACATTTTACTACGTACATTTTTGGGGGGCTTTAGATACAAAAAAAAATGTATGGCTACTAAGACCCCCAATGTTTTTCTATGGCTGAGAGGACTACAGTAGATACTTCAAATTTTGTCCAATTCCCCCTCCAAAATAATTAAGTTGGGTTTTACATAACAAATCAATTGTTAGTTACCCTAGATTACTTTAACCATCTACGTCTGTAACTCGTGGTGTATGAATTTTGTATTGTACGCAAATATTTGGGTTAGGTACCTATGCCGTATGTTGGTATGTCTAAAATATATTTTTAAAGTTTTTAGTCAAAAGGTTCTTTCTATTGTACGAACACTATTCGATTTACATCAAAAGGTTCTGAACACCGTGTATCATAAAATGTCGCTAACAAAAAGTTCTATCTCAAGAGCCTTTAATTTCCATGCCCGCGACGGTCTTAAGTCTATAACTAAGTGCGCGCAAAATGTTTACATATTCGTAATCGACATGAAAAGTAATATCAATTTAAAAAAAAGGAGCCCGTTAAAGTAGATATTATGTTCTTCAAAAACTAATTATTGACAGACTAAACTCAGCAAATGATTCATGGTGATGGGAAAAGCAAGTACAATTTGTATTTGCTATTGTAGGTTAATAATTAAAGCTTTGACCAATTGTTAGAACTAAGGAAAATCTTAAAAAGTTAAAATAAAATATTTTAACTAAAATAAAATATTTTAACTAAAATAAAAATATATATATTTATATAATATATATTACTACACGCGGGTTATATCATTTATTAGCCAATCGGTTTTTTTTTAATAGTATTTAATTACGATAAGTTCTTCAAAAAAACCTTATTAACGATAAAAAACTTTGTAAATTAATTTAAACAGTTTTATGCATTACAACGTATTGATCAATAGAATAATTAAATACTTACAGCTTCTATCATAAATATAATAAATTATTATTAAATAATTCACATACACCTACTGTAAGTTTTATGATATGTAGGTACAATCTATCGAAAGTGTTTATTCTTAAGAATTAGCATTATTAGATACTGTGTAGTGTGTACACTTCTATTCATTGATCTGTTTAATAACTAATTATACTGCAAATGTTTGTGTTTTGTGTAGAATAACTACGAGAAAACGGTTTTTGTTGTGTCCATTCCGATGTTTAACATAAACAGAAGACTTCTACTAATGAAATTATGTTTTTTTATTTTTGATTTTGGTAAGTACAAATATTCAATAATTAATTAAAATTAATTAATTATACGTTGTGATGTAGAGCATGTATTCTTGCGTCTCCGAATTGGATTTGTAAAGATTAATAAATGTGTGTATGTGTGCACTATTGTTGATTTTATCTGATATCTGTTATAAATGAGGGGTTTAGAGCTATAGTGGTGTAAGTCACATTTTGGTAAAAGTTGAGTTAAGTATTATTAAGAAGTCACTTTATCAAAAGGCAAATATCATTAAGCCGTAACATGTATAACCTCTACTACCAGATGGCAGCATAATACAAGCTGATAATATAAGCATGTTTTTTATTTATACAAGGATAATACAAAAGTTTTTGTTAAACCTTGTTTTTTTAAACTAAAATTAATGTGACTTACGCCATTATGGTTTTAACTAGAGCTACCGATTACACGTTTACGTAAATACACGAGTAACAAGTTATAAGTCACACGTGTATCTGCAACTACACGTATTCTTACGGCTGTAAGTGTTAATAAGACCTCTAATTTTACGTGATACTACTCTTTAATTAATGGTTGTCACTAAGATAAAGTATTATAGCTATTGGGTCAAGTTAGTGGAAGCTCGGGTCCTACACGTGTATTAATCACACGAACTCCTATACGTGAATTCGAACTACACGAACTTCTCCTATACGTGTATTTAAAATACACGTGTAGAATCGTCGGCTCTAGTTTTAACTCACCCACATATTACTTATCTTTAGTTTAATAGTTTATATGCGTATTTATAACAAACTTAAACGCGTACGCTCTTATGGGTGATGAAAACATTAATGCTCATTAGCCAATTTATTATTTAGATTAAATTATGCTAAAATTATACTTGATACTGTGTTGTTTTTAATTGTTTCTACTAAATGCTACAATTTTCATTTCTTTTTTTGCAAATAAGTGAACTTTTTCAGATCTATGAACCTCCCCCACCTCACTATGCTTCGACCCTACTGAATTAGCTTTTTCTTATATTTTGGTATTATTCATTTAAACACAAAAGTATTATTATTTGAGATTAACGCCCAAGTTTTTGTTGGACAGACACAAAAAAAACCCATAACCAATACTGCTTATCTTCGCGCCTAAACTAAAAAACTAATAACATTTTGTAAGTTTTAGTTGAGGACGTACCTAATTGGACTGGTAAAATGTAACTGCCACTCGCTTTGAGCACAGCACGTACGCATATATTTTGTACTTACATTAACAACGATATTTTATATTATGTTTTTACACGTACACTGGTGTGTCGCGTTTCTTTTTTGAAAATATTGTAAATTTGTCGAAACGGCCAACACCTCGTGCTGCACTTGGAAAATCTACAATATTAGTTATCGATATATTTTTATGTTGTCTAGGAAGTGCGCCGATTGTTCCTTTCATACCGACAGTGCTCACACAGCGCGGCGTGTCTTTGGTCGTTGTTGGTTCTATACTAACATTTGTACCCGTTCTTAACATTGTGATAAGGCCGCTTGTCGGATACGTCACCGATCGATGGCATTGCTGCAGAAGTGTGTTTTTGTGTGCCAGCCTGATCAACGCAATCGTCACGCCCACCTTACATTTTATCCCAGATTTTCTGACGGACCAACAGAAGGCGGAAGAAGTTAATGTTCTGGAATCATGGAAGTTTTGGGTTTTTTTACTAGTCATTACTGTAAATCGCATCATGTGGATGATAGGCGACGTTTTACAGGACACCATTTGTGTAAATATCTTAGGTGTGTGTGTGAAATATGTGAAGCCCCTGTGAAGTTCGCGAAAGAATAATATTTAAAAATTATAGTATTGTACACATTCAACAGGCAAAGAAAGCTCTAAGTATAGCGTCCAACGGATATTCGGAACTATAGGATGGGGCATAAGCTCCGTTTTGGCCGGTTGGTGTGTAGACTGGTACAGCCAAGGTGAAATAGAAAAAAACCATTTGCCTGTGTACCTGATAATTTCAGCCACGATGATTATACACGTGTTGGCCGCATCGCAATTAGAAGTAAATATAGCTTTTCTATACTTCAGCGTTTTGCACTGAAGCATGACAAACGCTATATAAATAGTATTTCACGTACCAATCATGACAAACACGTTTTTATGGAATTTATTATTGTAAGTTATGTTTTAGATCAAGACTGTCGACAAAGGAAATACAAACAAAGGCGCGGTCCGTAAAGTTTTATCTGACTTTAAAACAGTTTCCTTCCTCGTCTGGGTTACTTTTGCTGGAATTTTTACAGCATACACTTGGTATTATATATTTATGTAAGTCAATTTCAAACCATACACGTGCCAGACCCTATTCCACCAGAGGTGCTAACAATACATTTTTTCCTATGTTAAAAATGTAGGTTTTTATTTTTATCATAAAAAAAACGATTGCAAAAATTTTTTATTTCTTGCAAAATTCTATTACAAATAAAAACTACGAGGCAAAAACGATGAAACTCACATGGTGGTCGAAAATGAGTTAAAGTTGGCAACACCTCTCCAAGATCTTGTAGCTTCGATAGAAACTGACTCCCATTTTAAAACGATGATCTTCGGGCTGTAAAGTTTTCGACCACAAGACAAAAACTTTGAGACTCGAACTTTGAAAATCGGTTTTGTCAGCTCCAGAAAATGAGGGTTTCAAAGTTTTTACTTTTTACCTTGTGTTGATATGATAACCTATATAACAGCGAATAATGTAATAAAAATTGTCAAACATTTACTTTCTCAAACAAAAAGTTATTATAGCTATAAAACAAAAAAATCAAACTAATAATTAATTTTATTAGTAAACATAAAAACAAATTTGTCGTTTAAAAAAAAATAATCAACATTTTTTTTTATAACCTCAAAAAATGCAATTTTTTTAGTAAAATCTGTTTTAAAGATATGAATTTATAAGAGGAAATAGCGTAAAGTAATTTATTTTTTGATTACATCATAATATTTTATGATAAAGTCCTATAATTTTTAAATAGATAAAACCCTAAAAATATATTTTTAGTACCTCTCGTGGAGTGCGGATTTTTCGAACACCCTGATTCATTTTTACTAGTAATTACATTTGTTTTATTATAATTAATATAGATACATAGAAGACTTGGCAAATATTTTCCATCCGGAGCGTCTACCTTGGATTAAAACAATCGAGGGGCTTTCATTTACGGTACAGTGTTGCCTGGGCGAAATGCCTATTTTCCTTTTCTTTGGTCAGTTTACATGTTTACACATACATTGTCAAATATAACTCAAAGTTAAAAGTCTTAAGCCACTTTTGGATATTACATAAAACTGTTAACATTATCGGTTTGTACAGGTATTATATTGAAAAGAACTGGTCACATGGTGGCGTTTTCAATATCGTTTGCAATGTTTGCTTTGCGGTTTTACCTGTACTCGATTGTCGAAGATCCACTATGGATACTACCGATAGAATTGCTCACCGGTGTATCGTTTGCAATGGCTTTCTTGTCTGGTATATCATACGCAGCTAAATTAGCACCTCCCGGTAGCGAAGGAACTATGCAAGGTTTATTTGGCATGGCCTTTCAAGGACTGGGTAAAATCATATAACTTCTCCATAATTTTATTTATTTATTTTCATTATTGTATGTTTTATCCATATAGGTGTATCGTCTGGTGGTTTTATAGCAGGCTATACGTTCAAAACTTTGGGCAGTTCCTACTCGTATAGATTTATAAGTTATGTTGCGTTTGTTGTATTTATTGTGCAAGTGCTCATCAGCCAACTTCTTCAAAGACGAAAAAACAAAAGCTCTAAACGAATGTCGGATAAATGTGGATCCATCCATGAAATGGAAAATTTACAAAATAATGAGTGTTAACACATTCATTGTTAAGTAAATGCATATTTATATAAGTTATTAAGTTTCTAGAGAAATTAATTTTTGATAATTCAAATGAGCATTTGACGTTAAACTGAAAAAAATGGTTACTAAATTGTAACAGTAAGGTGATCTGACGATTGATTTGCATTTTTTTCATAAATCAACAATTGCGATGAATAGTGAATACTTTAGTGGTCGAAATTTAATAAGGATGGTCCTTATTATTATTACGTCCAAAAGAAACCGGGAAACTAGTAATAAAATATGAATATTGAATTTTAGAAGAAATAAATGTATAAAATATATTTATATGTGTTTAAATGTTTCTTTTTTGTTCATGACAGTACAAAACAATCATTATAACACAATCAATTTTAAACATATTACTGAAAATGAACTATTATCCAACAATTAATTTTTTAGTAATAATATATTATTACAAGCCGGTTTACTTTCATTATTGTAATTGTTTTTAAATATAAGTGACTTTTTTTGTAAAATAAGTTGTTATTTATTAACTATACCTTAAATTGTGTAAAAAAAATACTTTAAAATACTAAAAATTCTACAAAAAACATGCTGATCTAAACAGAAAAACATTTTTCAACATTAAACACATATTTTGTTGCAATTTATTAGCGTGAAAAAAATATTTAACTTTTTACTAGTCGATTCACTCAAACTAATGTTTTATTTTTTTTTCTTAGTAAAAAGAAAAAACTTAATATTCGTAAAAAATGTATTTAAATATCTTAATATCTAATTAATCTCTTATCAATTGTTTATCAATGAGGTATCTATAGCAACAGTTAATAAATTATTTTTTTATGAAATTTAAAAACCATAAAATATTTTATTTTAAAAAAAGGTTGTCCATTAAACAATGTGTAAACGAATAAAGTCAGCACAGTGGATTCAGGGCAGTGGAGGTAAGCCCCTGTCACACGAGGAGACTATTCGCTACGACTACGTACCAGCGAGTAATTTCGCTCCGTCTGACAACGTACATATTCGCTGCGAGTAATCCAAGTCATAGCTACAAATAGTCGCGGCTAATAGAATTGAGCATGTTCAATTCTACTCGCTGGGAACGCGCGATTACGATGGTCACGTGACCTAGTCGCTACTAAAAACCGTAGAGTCGCCCCGTGTGACATCGGCACTCGCTAGTGTACCTAGTAATCCCAATACTGTGCAGTACACTATAGTACTACTATAGTCGCTATAGCGTTACAGTCGCTACTGCTACTAGCTACCTAGGTTATCACTATTGTTTATCAATATTAATTTTATTATCAGTCGTTGTTTATTTCATCAATACACTTCACGAGTAGACTTTAATTTATTTATCAATTTTTCATCGACATATTTTTCTGTTTATCATGGATAACAAGCAAGGACAGGTCTTAAAATGGTCATCTGGTGATACAAGTAGATTTGTACTTGCATACAGAAAATATGATGCATTATCGGATACAAAAAATGCGCGTCAGAACAATATGACTAACAGTGGGTTTCAAATTCATTTTTGCGACTGATAATATTATTTGCTACTCGCTACCTCGTACAACCTCGTGTGTGACAACTTAGTCGCGGCGACTTGATGTGACGAGGCGAGTAGTCGCAGCTAGTAGTCGTGGCAAATAAAATCGCTTCGTGTGACAGGGGCTTCAGGCAGGTTAAAGGTCTTTAGGAATTATTGTAAGTGAAAGTGCTGAAATTACTCTTAAATTCGCTTTGACGTGAATCAATATTTTAATAAATATATGTGTAAAGATTATGATATAAAAAAAACTTTGGCATAGTATTTGAAAATATTGATAGCACATATTTCAATAATTTCTGAAAAATGTAATAACAGTTAAAAACAAGGTGTTTAAAATTTTCATTTAAAATTTTTTTAGTTTTTTTTTAATTTAAGAATTTAAATCACGGAGTTTTATCGATGAGTAGATAAAAAGTAGAGTATGTACCCAATAATTAATTGTAATTTTAATGTTTATAGGCGTACTATACATCATATTTTAAGACAAGTCCGTTTGTAGTAAAAATCATTTATTGACGAATTTCAAACTAGAACTGGAGCCATTAAACATAACATCTTGAATAGGTACTGATAATATAAAAAAACTTCGCTCGCAGATAAAAATTATTTTATTTAAAAAAAAACTACTCAGAACTAAGTTCTTTAAGATCGAAATAAAAATTAATGTCTTATAGTTGAACAAAAATCTTTTTAAAAACAAATTACCTAAAATTATTTTTAAGAGGTTTGAATAATTTTTTAAATATAAATTAAATGTAAAACCGTTTTATTAAATTTGTAGTTTTGTATAAGAAAATAGATGGTACTCATGCTTATAATTATTTATAGGCACACAAAAATCAGACTGCCCAAGGTAGGGGAGATCAACACTACTTTCTCAAAATCACCTCTGGTTAATTGCTTAGACTTTAGACAGTTAGATTTTATAAGTTATATAAGAATGCTACGAATACCTTTTACGTACAATTTTATCCAAGTCTTTTTAACCGTAGGAGAATATGTTGGATAAAATTATATTCGTATCTAGAAAAAACTTAACCAACACTTGTGGTTTTATAAAGTAACGAAATAAAATATTTAAATAAACCCTTAACCATAAAAATAATTCAATCTGTTGTATGCGCTTATAGATGGTAGGTACATTGCTGTCGTATACGCTATAGAGTATTATTTTGGTGGTTAAGGGTTTATTTAAATATGTTACTATCTATATATAGTTTGAATGCTTGCTTGAATATTTTAAACGTTTATTGATTATTAAATAGTGTTATATTATTTTAGCTCTTAAGTTTATGGTTTTTTTATTCACGGTCGGAGGGGGATTTTACGCGATATTTGACATTTTACACTGAGCAGAACATGTTTTAATTTTTATAACTTTTAACTCTCATTTTTATCGTATGCAGTCAACACACAACACAACTGGTATACCACGGTGATGTTTCAATATTATATAATATTATTATTTTTTTAGAATACATAATAATCCCACCATTAGGTTATAGTAACCACAGCAGCACCTGCTGTTGCCTGTTGCTTTGTCGAGAGTCGACCGGTTCAACGAGTCTGAGTAAGCCGTTTGTCGCTAGCATCATACCAGTCGTTTATATTGATTAAAATCCACCATTCACAACATCAGTTTGTTCAGATATGCTGATAACAACTTCTTTTTTTTTTGCGCGCTTACTAAACTAGTCTCTCTATTTGTTGGCAAGAAATCAAAACTTATGGTTTTTTTTAAATTAATCATCGAATTCGGCATACGTTAAAATTTTTAAATATTATAATTTAACTAACTTTGTAACCGTTTATCGTGTCATTCGATGGCACCATCGATCCAATATACGCACAAATCCAGTTAAAAACACCATAAGGTGAGTGTGTGTGTGTATGTATGTGTTTTGTCAAATTTAAATTCTATAATTATCGCCCACTGCTATCTTAAGCACGTACTACCCGTTTAGTAGTGTTGTTTCTAACGTGGAACTTTTAGCGCATAACACGGTCAAGGACATGCACATTTGTATGTACATATGTATATATTTAGATCAATAAAGGCTTCTAATTTGTAATTTTGTCCTTATTGCTATTATTATACTATATTAGAACATTCGTATTTTTAATTCTGGGTTTTTTGTTATATTTAAGAGAAACGAATATTTTATTCATTATGTATTTAAATGATATGTCTCGATGGATAGTAGTTTTGTACTGTCTGTTCTAATATTTGTTTAAAGTTGTAATATTTTGTTAATCGCAATGCATTATATTACAATGCATTACATTCTACTTTTCCTTGACAACTAACTACAACATATTATGCTTTAGTTATTATCTGTGATGACCTAATATGAATAATATACAATAAATCATCAACGTTAGCAGTCAATAAATATAGTATACATTTTATTGTAAACCTTTATTTCTACTTGAATATAATATAATATAATTTTGTACAGTATAAATATTATATCATACTATTTTTTTTGTTTTTAGTAGTTGGGTTGAAACTGATTTAGTTTTTTTATCTAGGGGTCATGTATATTGAGCGTAAACATGTTTAAAATTCTATGAGGTCATCAATTAGGTACCAACTAGTCATACCTTTATATTTTACATTATATTCAGAGGTTGGTACAACAGCATTGAGATAGCACATTGATAGGTGGACATCAATCATAATATTATTAGGTATTTAATAGATTTATCTTTATTATGATCATAATAAGTGTATTATATAATTAAGGAATTTAGGTCCTTTTATAAATTTATTGAGTGTATTTTTTGAATTAACTAATATTGTACCTGGTACCCATCTTGGATTGCATTTTATTTGTTATATTTTATCAATGTAGATTTTTTTTTCAACATAAATATGTAAAAAAAAATACATATAAATATATAATTAAATACAAGACTACAATTATTAAAAAAAAGAATAAAAACTGATATGATTATTATAATTTAATATTTTTTAGTAAATGTCAAGCAAAGTCGAGTAACAAAAACATAAATATATTTATGTTAATATTAAAATTATTTTGTGTGTGTACTTAATATTCTATTTTTATTATTTTACAATTATTTAAAACTATCTTAGATACAGACGAGCATTTTATTTTAAAATAATGCCAAAATTATAAATTTTAAATAAATAACTAACCAACAAAACAACTTGATTATTTACTTTTTAATACCTAAAATGATAATTTTTCTCTTAAGGTTTATTTGAATAAAAACTCCATTTTATATTATTGTTTCCTGAACTTTCAGTACAAATGGCAGACACCTTACAGATTAATCTAGGATTTTGGGTTATGACTGTGATTCTATTTTAACTAAAGTACATATATATATTTTTTTATTTTAATGTATTCTTTAATTGTTATTATTTAATTGTATTAGCTACATGAAATATTATGTAAATATAAAAATTCTATAATTTTATCAAAGTCCGTAAGGGTTCAGGAAGTATTTTAATACATTGAGCACTGTAGTCAACAAATGTTGACTGTATATTTATGGGTTTATTTTCTCCGTGGCTATGCGCAGTCATAATAAAAAAACAAAGTGGCACTCAACGACACTTTTATTTAATTCTTGAATTATTTAAAAAAAAATGTATGGATTAAATTTGTAGTGTTAAGCTTATGATTACTGTTTGGTTAATTCAATTTATTATTGTGTTATGTTTTATTATCAAAATTGTATATTGTAACCTTATTTTGACTTGAATATCTACATTTATTTTATAGATATCAAAAATGGCTGAAGATTTAAAGAAACTCTATGTGGTGGTAAGTTTATTAGAGTAGTACGCTTTTTTTTATTATTCTTATTATAGTATAGTTTAATAAAATACCATAATTACATTTAATGAAATTAAAAACAACAAACATAAAAATTCACTTTATCTAATTGTTATATCTGTATTTTAAATATTGAGTTTGAAGTGTAAATTTATAAAAGTAGTCCTTAAGATATGAATTGTTCCTTTTTTTTTTAACGCTGTATTAATGATACTAAAATAACCAGATCAACCATTATTAAAATAGGCTACCTCTTCCTTGCATTTAAGATATTTACATTTCATTCCTGCTTTACTCAGACTTGCATACATTTGACATTGTGACGTTTAACAATTGGATGTTTTATCATAAAATTATATGTCATGGATTTATTGCTATACCTAATTAAAATAAAAAAATAAATTAATATTGATTATAGCCTTAGCAATCGACAGTCTCAGGGCTTAAACTACATTGCATTATTATTCCATTCAATTTCATTTAAAAATTTGTATCTGACATTCAATTGAATACTTCAAAACAAGAAGCCAAAATTGTTTTCAACATTTAATTGATAATTATAACCGTATAATCATTGTGTAGTATCTACTCTAGATGCACATTTATTAATTGACTTGTCGTTGTTTTTTAATGCTAGGTTAAAGACGATTAGATGTAGTCTACTTATTTTAGTGTTTACTCTAATTATTCAAAGCTTGAGAAAATATTGTTTTCACACTGAATTTAATTATTTATTTATTTGAATGTTTTATTAATATTCAGTAAACTGTAAATTTGTAATTAATAAAACATCAATGGATTGAGTATTGTTAGCTGTAATTGTATCGAATTATGGAAGTGCTGTATTTCTTCATTGCGAGTGTGACAATCAATCTTACTATAGCGCACTTAGGTGTGCTCATACTTTAATTTTCAAATCAAACTTGAAACAATATCGAGTCTCATTTTTAAATTACATGATTTATATAACCAAAACAACTTTTTTGTTGTTAAGCCTAGAAAGTGCGTAAAATTTGAAATTATTATTTAAATTTCCTTGAGAATAGGCTCAGCTGACACTTAAAATACCTGTACAAAAATCACATGAACTTCGAGTTTAAAAATTCTGTTCTCGTCAGCCAAAACTAATGATGAGAATCTGAAATTCCAGATTTCCACATAAAAATGATACTTAAGCCACTTCAAAATCTTATAAGTACAAAATGTAATTCACGGTAAATTTTGTATGTAAGTTTGTTATAAAAAGTTTTGGTACTTGAGTACAGAAAATTTTTTTTGTAATTTTATAAAGGAAAAAATATGTAAATCTTCATTATTACATGTAGATTTTTTCAGTAATCGAGCTAAAAAAATAATACCTTAAAATAGAACAATTATACGGGTAATAGTATTAGCTCGATTCTAAGTTGAGAAGGTGTTCTTCTTTCAATGGTGAATTAACATGAAAAATTAAATTAAAACTGCACTAAAATTTGAATGGAAATTATTTCCAACATCGAGTTTAACATGAATGTACTAAATAATTATTTTTAGTGTATCATTGTACGCTGCGCATTGTATAAATAACATGGAATAGTTTAAGTACCTACCATAAATCACGTTCTTCGGTAATCTTAAAATGATTAACAATCGTTTAAAAATAGTTAATTGTTATAAATATTGTTTCTAATATTTCGAATAATCCGTGTATTATGTTTGGAAGGTTGTTCTTGATTATCGCGTTTCTCATTTGAATGCACTGTTTAGTGGTGTCCGTATGGTATTACTAAACTTGTCAATTTATTCATTCTAGTAATATGTATAAAGCAGTGGGTCTAAAATAACGTGTGTTGTGTCTATTTTCATGTAGTTCGCATGCTGGTGCTGAACAAGATGTGTTAGTTTTGTGTCTAACGCGTTAGATTTTTTAAAAATGTGTTTCGAGTTTCGACCGTTATGTTTGTTAAAAAAAAAATGAACTATTTTTTTTAATGTGTCAATAAGTAAAATAATTTATCCACTATAAAATAATAACTCATTGTTTCACTTCAAAAAACAAAATTATAATCCTGTATATTTTAATTAAATAACATACTATGTTTTTGTATTATTTTTACTGTTTACTATCTGCTCGTCTGGAAAATTCACAAACTCGAATGGGAAAAGTAATAAATTATATAAAACGAAAGAATCCGTACTAGTGCTTGTCTTTTTTGCATGTCTGTTAAGGACGGTTAACCTAGTGCATATTGAATTCTCACTAATCCCAACAGTTACCTGTGCGACTTGTACCGACGGTGTCGATGTAACGATGACAATAATATAATATTATAGTATATTGTTTATATTTTTAGTTCCGGGGTCATAGAAATTGCGTGTACTCACTACCACAACTCTATAGTAACCGTTTTTTTAGTTGTTAGGTTTTTCGGAAAATGTTTAACAAAGATGAAATCCTAGCGCTTTTGGATATTAAATTTCAATCATCTTAAATACCCGACCATGGAGTATTTTATCTACTTTGAATATTGGAGATAGGTCCATCGTTAATTGTCAGCTCTCGGTAATAAAAAAAAGTTTATAATAATAATATCGTTAGCGGCGTTAAGTTAGATTTTAATACGTATTCGGTATGGACTTTCACAGTCGACGTTTAAAGCGGAAACGGCGTTCTCCAGTGGATTCTCAATGTTTATAATCAAGTGTTAAACCGCGCTGTAAATGATAATTATAATGCTGTGCTAATAATTTAAATTAATTTTACGTGCTCGTGATCGTGCTATGGCTCCCAGGAAGTACCCGGCAAAACCGATGAACGACGAATTAATTCGTCGATTTCAACACTGGAAATTTGCATCACAACACAAAGACTGTTATACGTCAGTAAGTTTTTACAATACAGTAGTGTTAAAATTTATATTTTTTTACATAAAGCTCATAACGTTAGATTTTTTCAAAAAGGTCTACAATGTTTACAATTTCTTTTAATTTACAGGCTTCTAAAAATTGATATTGACTTTTATATAATTTGTCCTATTACGTGCAGTATGATAGATCCTCTTATTTAAAAGAACCTACCCTAAATACTATTTTAATTAAAATTGTATTTACATTTAAAATTGAATAAAAATGTATTTAGATCTCTTGGTAAACACAACTTTACCTTACCCAACTGGATTTTTTGCGAGCACACAAACTTAAATTAAAACCGTTATTTCTAGGTTGGTTTAATTCTTTACAAGTTTGTGGTATGATACATAATTTAACTTCTTTAATTTGCAAACAGGCTTTATCTCCACGTGTAAACGTAGAAAAAGTTTAATTAAAAAGTACGTGTTAATTATGTAAAATTAGTAGTGATTTTACAATAATAATTAACCCAACGTTAGACTCATTACATATATTTTTTCATCATAAGGTGAAATGCTACCTACTCACAGTGGCGTAACTAGAGACTAAAGCGCCCTGGAGAAAGACATTTTTTTTGCGCCCTATATTACATGTTATCGTTCATAGTAAACCGTACAAAAACACCATAAAATAGAATGTGCCCAGTGGCAGCTGCCCTCCCTGCACCCACGGTAGCTACGCCACTGCCTATTCACTATCATCGCATCTCATTTAACTCTTTTTATTTTTCCAAATTCGTTAACTCTCACAAGATTTCCTTTTGACATTTCATTTATGTTGTCTTCTGAAAATGTCCCAATAATATTACATATAATTTAATTTTGTTGTCAAACTGGATTTGTAATTTAATATCATGTTCTTAATTATTATGTAACCGTTGCAACGCATTGAAACTAATTGTAATCACGAAGTTTTAATGAACTAAATAAACTATAATTTATATATTTAAATGAGAACAAATAATTTGTATAAGAAAAAAAAAAAATGTTATTTATTGTGTTATTAGAGTAATTAAACTAGGTCATCTATGGTTATCTAAAGAACATTTGAGTATGTTGTTTGTCTCTTGTCTAAAAAATATCAACGATAGGACGTTTGTCTTGTGTTGGTGCATTAGGCTAATTTTCTTAAAGGCCTAGGCATTTTTGGCGAGTCACAGTCAAAATACATTAACATGCTGTTAATGAGCTCAGTGCCGCCGTCGTTATTGATATTATGTATATTTTGTTATCCGTCAAGGTATTCGAACATTTTGTAGTGCGTTATAATAATGGTAGGAATAACTGTGGAATAGTTGTTTAATGTCTTTATTATAATATCATATTCCACCTATACTAAAATTATTATTATAACAGAAGAGTGTATTTGGATAACCCTCATGTGATGAGTTCGTGTGACCCAAGGTCAATATATCAAGGTTTTTTGTCGTTAGGATGTATTTTTTAATTTTTGGGCGAAGTACGGAATCGCACGCGTTAGTCGTCGTTTATGAGGTTTCTTACGGTTTTCACCGTTTTAACTTCAAACAACAAATCGAACATTGCCTGGCTATTGCACAAGTTTCGCAACTGAAACGATTTTTAATTTCGCGTTAAATAGTATAAACCTTCACTTAATAATTATTTATCTCGTGTATATTTTATGGGCGAAAATGAATATTTAATAGCCGGTTAATTGTGTTTACGAAGCACTAACGAAGAAATACATACCATTGTTGTCGTTTTAAAATAAAATATATATTCTATGTACAATTCATATTGATTAACTTTGTACAGTTGTAAAAAATTATGTATTAGGCACAGGAGCACTAGAGTGGCGTGGATATTAAATTAATTTAAAAAAAGTTCAAACCTAGCTTAACCTATTTTTTAGGAATCGAAATTAACTGTTGAAAAAAAAAGCAAGTAAATGTTATACTTTTATTATATTAATTTCTTAATAAAAAGTTTCTGTTCCGTTGTGAAACCCTCTTGGGGTTGTAATAGAAAATTTCTTTTTACATTTTGGTTGCGTGGGCGTCGTGGCCGAGAGGGTTACCGCGGCAGTGATTCTACGCACTAGCCGTGGTTTGAATCTCAGTCGCTGGCCATTTCTCTAGCAGGCGTGTAACTGTCTAGAGAGAGAAATGGCCACTCGACTGTTGCGGCAGGCAACGAAAAACCATCGGCACCATACCCACTTCCCCAGGATGGCAACTCTTATGAATCTACAAGGCCACCAGGCCTTTAGTAGGATAAGAAAAGATTTTGGTATCACGTTTCATCTAGTATAGACTGGCTGATTGTGTATGTAGCAAAAAAAAAAAAAAGGCTTAATTATATTCCCCACAAAAAATGTGCAAACAATTGTTCAATATTATTATTTTTTCATTAAAAAAAACAGAAACCAATTTTTCTAAGAAATATTTTTTTTTGTTTAATGACACATTCTGAACAATAATGTTTAACATCATTAGCGTTATCTCTTGCGCATAAAAACTCGGGTCAGAAAGAATTTCATTATTACTTGTTACTACTTTAAAAGTACAATATCTCTAAAAAAGTTCAGTTCTACGAAATACTTAAATTTGAGAACTATTATTTCTAAAATTTGTTGTCTAAAAAATAATGTTTGGAATTTGATAATACGTTTTTTTACGGTTTATCAGTTTTTAACAATAGGATAATAATTATTAATGTAGGACATGTTTGTAAATTCTAAAAATATATGGTTAAATTATTAGACTAGATGTTTAAAAAAATAAATGTACGACAAGTAACTGTACGTTTTTTAAACTACAAAATATAAAAATTTAGTGAAATTCAATTTGTAAAATTAACAAAATTTGTATAGTTTTATTAAATGTTATCATTATGTTGATCAACGTTATGCTTCAAATAAAAATTCTCATTTACTCAAATAACAAACTTTTGTGGTTATTAAGTTATTACATTTTTTAAATCACACTTAACTGTTTATAAGATAATTATTATTAACATTTATGTCACTCAAAAAAGTTTTGTTGTGATGAAACAACTGCATTCAGTAATTTATAGTTTCGTTATTAACTCTGTTGGATTTTATGGATTCGTATCGTACATGCCCCCTGACCTACTTTATGGTCAAGTTGTACAATAAATACCACCAATATAATATATCGGTACCTTAAAGCACACAAGTGCCATCTCCAAGCGATGTGTATACAGTAAAATACTTGCTCCATTTATAAAGTTATTGTTGTGATAAAATAATTCAGTGAAATCGTTATGAAATGGAATTAGTTTTGTCTGTGTTGTTAAAAAAAAATCTTTTGTAATACCGTTATTGGTAAGAAACATTTCATTTGTATGACTTTGAGAAAATCCAACTTCTTCAAATGGAAATCGCAGTAGAATCTATATAAAAAATTAATTTAAATAACTACAGTGTATGCCATAGTACGTTATAAAACGCTATTTATAGCATAAGGAATTAGGGAAAGGGTTTATTCCTCAGGTGATACGCCATTGAGAATAAAATACTAGCATATATTATCATCAATGAATTAATATCTCTCCATTAAGAGATACTACTTGCTATAACTTGACCTCGTTTGAATGTTTTATTTTTATTACATTTGTCTCTTGTATCGTTTTTGGTTTTAAATATTTTTACTCGGTAATGTATCGTATATCTGTGCCACACAATATTATTACTGATTAAACCTTCAGATGTAACACTATACATTGAAGTAATGTATATGCAGTACATTCCGACTTTTTGTTTGTCGATAATAGTGTTTAAGTCATTTTAATTATGACCTCACACGTGTTAACACTTGTCCGGTTCTTAAGGTATTAAGTATTATAGTATGATTTGTACAAATGAAAATATTTGTATAATTAATAATATTTATAGGGTTACTATTTCGGAAATTACGACTAAAAACGAAATAAAAACCTTTGAAACTGATTGATGAAAATGAGTCATTTACGGACACTGCAAAATGTCGAAGGGCAAACAAAATAAATTATTAAGTATTAGAATATAATATTAATATGACTGTGATGTTGCGTAACTATAGTACTATAGTATGAACCATACTAGGAAGAAACCATCTCGTTGTCTTTTAATTTTAATTACAACTGGTGTTATTATTAACAACGATCCATTATGGTTTTCTGTTTAAATTATCGACTAAGGACTAAGGAATCGTGTCACAACAACTAACATTTATGTAGGCAAAAAAAAATTGTTATATAATATTATAATGTATAATACATTTTGTAATATTAATAAATCGTTGCAATAAAACACATGATTCGATTTGTATTAGCATACGTTTCACAATGTGTTTTAATATTATTATTGTAATCGATAAAACACGTATGAGGTCACAGTCTTTTAGAAATAAACGCTATTATGTGAAACTGTATAACTAAGTGATGGTAAAAACTGTTTAATAAAAAAGTAAATCATTTTCTATATAATAAATGTGTTTATAATCGTGTTATAAAATGCTTGGGTTATTACTGAGTTCCCCTCAATAAAAAAACGTGGTTACAGTTTTATTTTACTTTTTTAATATGGCTACGTTTGTATTTCTTAGACTGTTTAAAATCATAACAATCTACTAAAAACTTTGACTAGTCGATTATGTAAAGAATAATTATTTAAAAAACCCAACAGTATTTTCAAAAGAAAAAAATATATAACAAAAACTAAAAAATGACTATTATTTTTTTAAATAAAATGTCTTACGTAGCTTAAAATTTGCCCATTTTTTAGTTTTCATCTATTCGAAGGGGTTAAATTTTTTAATTTTTTAGTACGATTTCTGATCTATTTAAAGGTACTGTGGGTCCAGGCACACACGCAAAATAGAAACATTGTAATGACTATACATTTTCAGCTTTGAAGCTAAAATCTAATTTTTAATTAAAATCATAACTTTTTGGAAATAATGTTAAGGCAATATGGTAGTGAAGTCGACCCAAAAACTTGAAATTTTCGATTTAAAAAAAACAAAATTTTTGTCCTTTGGGATCTGAAGAATATGTGGATGGGTCGAAAAAGTCGTTCTGAATCTTGTAAGTGCGAGTTTTTCACTTTTTAGACAAGTTGTATGCTTACTTTGAAGATCATTTCCTATTAATCATTTTTTTTGCATGTTATGATGCAACACAAATCTCGAAATAAATTCATTATTAAACGACGGATTTTTACTTTCTGGAATTTCAATTCCATCAATACAATTTTTGCAATTTCACTACCATCTAGGAAATACTAAAAAAAATGTTCGTTAATAATTAATTTTCTGACAAAATATGATTTTAAACAGTTTTTACAATATTAAGAATACTGAAAGTAGCAACAATTATAAAATATAATTTTAAAATATATTTTTGCTGTGTGGGATATAATAGTTGACAAATAAATTCTGATTACTAAATATTATACAAACAAATTAATACATTTATTTAACTGTGTTAAAAAATTAACACAGTTGGTGTTAAATAAAAGTGGAGCAGCAAATTATTATATTGTACTTGATAAATAAACATTTTTATGTTTTTCAGGGGACCAAAATTTGGGTGCCGTGCAAAACAGAAGTATGGCAGACCGCCGAGATAACAGAGGCTTACAATGGCCAAAAGTTAACAGTCAGGAAAACAAAAGATGGCGATATGTTAGTCATCAAGATTGGTTCAGAAGAAGAGCTTCCGCCGCTTCAAAACCCAGACATTCTCTTAGGCGAAAACGACTTGACATCATTGTCATACTTGCACGAGCCAGCCATTCTTTACAATCTGTATTGTCGTTTTGTTCAAAGCCGTGCCATATACACCTATTGTGGTAATTACTCAAGCAAACGCAGCACACGGACAGCGTTAGTATAGTTAATTCTCGTTTTTGTCATTTGTTTTAGGAATTGTACTTGTTGCCATAAATCCTTATCAGGACTTGGATATCTATGGGATAGATACGATGATGACCTACAGGGGTCAAACTATGGGAAGTCTTGATCCTCATGTTTTTGCCGTAGCCGAACAAGCTTTTAATAAAATGGAAATGTAATTTTCAATACTAGAAAAGTTTTAATGATAACATCGTTAATTGTGAATTTTTATTTAGTGAAAACAATAATCAAAGCATCATCGTTTCTGGTGAATCGGGAGCTGGCAAAACCGTTTCAGCCAAATACGCTATGAGATACTTTGCCACAATTAGCGGTTCAGAAACGGAAACTCAAGTAGAGAAGAAAGTTCTCGCATCTAGTCCAATTATGGAGGTAAATTACAGTTAGCAAAAACCCTAAAAAACTTGGGTTTTGACTTTTTTGTTTTAAACAGGATTGTTGCTAAAAATTATTTTTTTAAAATTATTTTCAAGGCAATTGGCAACGCCAAAACGACTAGGAATGACAATTCTTCTCGTTTTGGAAAATACATTGAACTACATTTTGATGATCGCAACCACATAATAGGAGCTAGTATGAGAACTTACCTTTTAGAAAAAAGTCGCGTTGTATATCAAGCCAGCGAGGAACGAAATTACCATATTTTTTATCAGCTATGCTCCTCGCGGTCATTGTTTCCACACTTGCAACTTGGTAAATAAAGCATTTTATTTGCTTAAAATAAATAAATATTAACGTAATATGTATAAAATAAATATTTTTTATCAGGGGATTCTGAGGAATATTTGTATCTTTCATGTCAATCCAGTAGTGAGCTTGATAAGCTTAATTTCAATGAAACAATCCAAGCTCTTAATACGTTGGGATTTTCTCAAGACGATCAAGATCTCATGTGGAGACTTTTGGCCAGTATTTTACATTTAGGAAACATTCAAATTACTGATAAGTTCCAAAAAAGTGCGGGAGACAGTGATTCTTCTTATATATCTGTAAGACAATTTTTATTGTCTAAATAATTACAAATTTGTTTGAATATTTTTAAAAAATTTTGTTTTAGCCGGAAGACCCTCATTTACACATATTTTCATCTCTACTCAGTGTTAATCCTGAGGAATTACTGAAATGGCTATGCTACCGAAGAATCGTAAGCATGAAGGAAACATACGAAAAACCAATGACTGTAGAGGAGGTAAGGGTACACACAGCGTTGGCCTTACGAACAAACCGCTGTTTTGGTCGCTTAATTTTGATATCTGTTTTTAGGCAAGTGGAGCCAGAGACGCTTTAGCAAAACATATGTACGCCTCGTTATTTCAATGGCTTATATCGATAATGAACAGGACTATGTGCGAGACTTCGCCTTTGGTTCGTTCAATAAAATATTATCAACTAACCGATTTGTACTGGTAACTTCAATAATTTAAATATAATTGTAATTTTTCGTTTTGTTGATTAGATATCGTGTCCCATAATTGGTGTGCTAGATATTTACGGTTTTGAAATGTTTGAGCTAAATAGTTTTGAACAGTTTTGTATAAATTATGCAAATGAAAAACTTCAGCAACAGTTCAATTTGGTGAGTTTCTTACTAAAATCAAATATACAATATTACTATTAATTTTCGACTTAAATTTTAATAAACCGTCTTTTTAATGTATTGTGTGTATTCTAGCATGTATTCAAATTAGAACAAGAAGAATATGGAAAAGAAGGCATCGAATGGAAATTTATTGACTTTTACGATAACCAGCCTTGTATTGATTTAATTGAATCTAAATTGGGAATATTGGATCTTCTAGACGAAGAATGTCGTGTAAGTAGTTGGATTGTATCAGTTACTTGTCTTTTGTCGTATGAAAAATGTTAAATTTTTCAAAAATTTGCTTTTTAGATGCCACAAGGTTCAGATATTTCTTGGACTCAAAAGTTGTATACCAAATGTACAAAATGGGATCGTTTCTCGAAACCTAAATTTGGTGAGTTCTCAAATGATATTGTGTTTAATGTGTTTGTTTGTATAATGGTTTTATTTCTTTACAGCTGGTTCTGCCTTTACAATAAAACATTTTGCCGGCGATGTCGAATATTTTTCTGAAGGTTTTTTGGATAAAAACAAAGACACCGTAATTGAGGATCAGGTTAATATTCTCAGAAACGGCAGAAACGCTATGTTAAGTACAATATTTATGGTCGATGGTTCGAGCGATAGTAGGCTTGGTGTGTCTGACCGCAGATCAAGCATGCTCCATACACCAAAATCTGCGACTATTGGACCGACTTCTAAATCTCGAATGCTTACGCCCATGAGGCCTATTTGTGCAACAATCGGATCGCCTTCTCCGTCGAAACAAAATAAGAAAACCGTAAGATATTTATTTACAGTTTTTTTCATCAATTAAAAATATATATATTAATTGTTTCATGTGTATATTTTATTAGGTGGGCTCTCAATTTAGAGACTCGCTTAACGCTCTAATGACAACTCTTAACGACACAACACCACATTACATAAGATGTGTGAAGCCTAATGATGAAAAATTACCATTTGTATTTGATCATCAAAGAGCTGTTGATCAGTTGAGAGCATGTGGTGTATTAGAAACGATACGCATTAGTGCCGCTGGGTTTCCTTCTAGGTGAAATATTAATGCCTGTTGCATCATAATTTTTTTTGTAAATGATATTCTATAATAAGTGATTGTATTTCAGGTGGTCGTATATAGATTTCTTTTCGAGGTATCGGGTGTTGTTAAAATCAAAAAAAATCAATAGGAACGACCCTAAATTAACATGTCAACGAATCATCGAGGAACAAATACAAGTACAAAGCAATTTTGTACATTTCATACATACCAATGATAAATATAATTTTTTTTTTTTAATTTGCAGTCTGAAGATAATTACAAGTACGGAAATACAAAAATTTTCTTCAGAGCTGGACAAGTAGCATATTTAGAAAGAAAACGAGGAGACAGGCGCAAAGACTGTAGTATATGCATTCAGAAAATTTGGCGAGGATTTATTTGTCGAAAGAAGTACACACAAATTCAGCGTAGTGTGTTGTTAATTCAGCGATACGGCAGAGGACTTTTAGGCCGACGGTAAGGGTCAAGATACTAAATATTTTCTTGCAATTTAATTACGTCACTTGAACTATTGAAAACCACTAAGTTTTATTTAATGTAGTTTGACCGAAAATCTCCGTCAAAACCGAGCGGCTACGAAAATTCAAAAGACAGTTCGTGGTTGGTTATGTCGTAAAAAATATTTGCGTTCACAGGCTGCTGCTCTAATTGTTCAACGTTATTATCGTGGCTACGTCGCACGGAAGTTCACTACAAATTTAAGGAGGAACATCGCTGTATGTAAACTAACCTAACCTGTAAACTTTTTATGCTACTGAAAGACTATGCTTATGGGTTTTTTGTATTTCAGGCAGTGCGTATCCAGTCTGTAGTTCGTATGTGGCTGTGTTATCGACGTTATCAGCATACCTTGGCTCAGATTATTAAGGTTCAATGCTGTATAAGGAGATGGTTCGCTCGTAGATGTCTAAAAGTCTTAAAGAAGGAAGCGCGTTCGGTAGCGCATGTAACTAAATTAAATAAAGGATTGGAAAACAAAATTTACATGATGCAGCAGAAGATTACTGAACTGGTGCGTTGGTTACATTTTTGTCGTTGTTTAAAAAAAAAATTGTTTTATTATTATATTATATATACATTTTTTGTTGTGGCATTATGGCCGAGAGTGTTAACGCGGCAGTGCTTCTAAGAACTAGACGTGGTTCGAATCTCGCCTGCTGGCCAGACAACTGTTTGGAAAATGTGCTAATGTTGTTAAAACAAGAGTTGTAAACAAACTTAATAGATTGTTAAAAAAATAAGTGTATTAATTATGTTTTTAGAATAATCAATTAATATCGACAAAAGTATTGGAAAGCGAGTTACAAGAAGCGAAGCAAAAATTAATGGAGCAAAAAAATATTACTTCAGAGTTAGTATTAACCAAAAAAAAAGCACAGGAAGATGAAATTCAATTGAACATATTAAGAAAAAAATATGATTCTGAAAAGAATACTACTGATGAATTACTTGAAGGGTACAAAAATCAATTAAAAACTGGAGAACAAAGTCTCTTAGAAGCACAAAAAACAATTGTTGAATTACAATCTGCCTTGACTTTTGCTAACCAAGAAAATGAAAAGAAATTGCATGAAATTCAAGGTATAGTCCAGTTATTGAAAGGTTTTATGATGAAATAAAACCTGAGAAATTTTCTTTATGATCTCCTGATTGACCAAAAAATATCCTCCACCATTCTGAAGACCGGAAGTGTCTGGCCATATTGGTTTTTAAGTATGATTTTACAGTTTTTCTCAATTATCATCAAAAATATTAATTTTACGACAACAATAGTTCCTGTTTAAGTCGAATAATAAACTGAGCATATTTCACCGAGCTTCGTACTATAATGAAGCGTATAGGCGCGCACCGCATGTGTACTACAGAGTGTATTTTTTAATTATACAAGCATATAACTTTTGTAACCTACTACCTATACATAGCAATATACAACAGTTTAGGTTTGTAATGAGAAAAATACCGGCTTTTCTACCAGTATCAGAGCTATTAATAAAACCAGTCAATCTATAATCATAGCCAATAACAACAATGGTTTGTGTGCCCTTGAAATAACTTCATTTGCAATTGAATCGTCTTAGGCTTATTCGATAATAGACCCTTATCCGCCAAAAATATAGACAAAATGATAGTAAATCTACTTTTGTTTTGTATATTTGATAAGAAAGGGGTTTGCACGGCAATAAGAATCATATTCATGTCGAATAAAATATCTGCAGATTTAATTTTTACACGTTGATTACGTTCCGTATTTTTTGTATTTTCGAAGCTTTCATAGTCTCCACTAAAATCATTGTTACAAATAAAACAAGCTTAGGGTTAGGTTAGGTTAGGTTATTATTCGATTCACAAAAAATAAAAGTACAGAATCATATTGAAAATGTTGTCAACTATATTTTTGAACAGAACTATTTATGCGGTAAAGTTAATATTTTTTTATGATAATTGAGAAGAACTGTAAAATCATACTTAGAAACCAAAATGGGTGGACACATCCTGTCTTTGGAGGGGTGGCGGATTTTTTTGGTCAATCAAGAAATCATAGAGTACACTATAACTTAATTATATTTTTTTAGAGAGTTGGAAAGCAAAATTAGTAGATGAAGTTCTCAAAGCTCAAAAGGAAACCGAAGTGGAGAAAAGCAAGTACCAGAAGCTGCTATCAGAAAAGCGTTCAGTCGAAGAACGTCTCGAGTCGCTAGAACGGCCAACAGTTGGGGCGAGTGGTGATGGTTTGAGGCGCAACGATTCCGATTCAAGTTTGTTGTCTTACCAAGCAAATGGATATGCAATTAACGGAGATTTAAAGAGTGTAAACCATTTTATCCCAAGTTAGATGTTAAATTTTTTTTTTTAATTATAATTTTCATCAACAGTGCACAACCGACAACGACGATATAGTAAAACTGCAAAAAACATTGAAAGCTACACAGGCGGAAAGGGATTTATTGCTAAAGCGAATTGAAAATGACAAATTGATACGTGACCCAACTAATGTAAATGACGTAAGTGTAATTCATTTCCACTTCATAATTATTTTTATAATATTTAGCTTATTTATTGTGCAAAATTATTTAGGTTTCTCAGTTAAAAGAGCAAAACAATTTATTGCGGCAGAACTTGAACACTTTAAGACAAGCAACAAATTCCACTGCCAACAGCAATTTCCATGTCGCAGATAATTTGACTCGTAAATATCACAAAGTTTTCAAATTCATATTGTTCACTATTATTGAACTTTACCGCTAATTTCCTTGACAAGTGGAGTAAACACTCTAAATTAACATCTTATTATTTATTATTTTATTTTATTATTATTATTTTTTTTTGTTAATTATTATTATTTCATTTTTAACATAATTATCAAACTATGAATTTTTTGTTCCTGTTATTTACCAGTTTTAGCTAAATAAATGTGTTTCCATATTCAGCGGCCAAAATTTGTCTTTTATTTTATTTTCTATATTAATTTTTTTTTTTTTAAATTGGATTTGATATATATGAACATGACAATGTGTTTAGGCCAGTTGGAAGTATTACAAGATGAATTATTCAATAAAAGAACAGAATGTGTACAATTGCAGAATCGTCTGCATGGTACAACAGAATCCCTGCGCAAAATCGTAGACTATGAGGAATCGTCTTCGTCGTTAACAGAAGATCGAGAACTCAATCAAGCCATCGATGCTCAAAAAGCTATAAACAGGTACATATTACATAGATGTAAAACTACTGTATATAATGTAATAAAACCGTTTCCCAAACATTGATAAGTACATGAAAGCATATTTTGATTGTATCATTTCTGATGGTTTGGCTAATTGACTTTTTGTGCATAAAAATAATAAACTTTTAGGTCTTATAATTGAGATGTAAAAACTGTTTAGGCATTTAGTAGAAGAATTGCAAACGGAGAAATGTAAATGGAAAGAAGAAAAGGAGAAAATGTCCTCTCAGCTATCCAAATTACTTGAAGACAACGAAAAGCAACAACAGCTGTTAGCCATTGAATTTGATAAAAATCCTCAGTGCGACGCAATTTTGCAATCGGACGTTGCTAAACTCAACTACGATAATACAGTAAGTCGATAAATCGGACTTCTTAATAGTTTTATAACTATAAAAATGTTTAACAGCAATTGCAACAAAAATATGATGAACTATTGCGCAAGTATGTAGGCTTACGAAATGAACTGTTGTTGGACGCTAAAGAAAACTCTACTATTAACTTTGGTATACTTTGTTTAATTTTCTTTTTTGTACTTGTGATGAATTTATGTTCAATTTGTTGTATTTTCATTGTTATCGGCATAGAAGTTGAAATGGATGATGCTAACTTTGCAAATAGCACGACAATTTCCACAGAAGACGGAACCATTATCGCTAAAAAGAAGAACCGTACAGAATACATGGGAATGTTTCAATGCTCCATGGAAGACGATCCAATTGTTGCACGTAATTTGATCATAGGTATGTTTATTATCTCATATAATACGTTAATATAAAATAATGTTAAATGCCCTTTATTGATTGATTAATTATGCATTCAATTGGTTTTTCTAGAATTAAGATCCGAAACCGCCCTAAAATTATTGCCCGGATTGCCAGCTTACATTTTGTTTATGTGCACCCGTTACCACGATTTCACCAAAGACGAAAAAAGAGTTAGTTAAATATTATTATTACAATTAAGATGAAAAATTTCATGCTTTTTAAAACTGTTGCATTTCTTTGTATTTGTCAGATTGCATCGTTTTTGACGACTGTTGTCAAGAACTTGCAAAGAGTGATGAAAAAACGTCATCTTCAAGACTCTATGATTTTGTGGCTATCCAACTCTCTAAAGCTCATACACATCCTCAAACAATATAGCGGCGAGCCGGCGTTTGCCAGCGACAACACCACCAAACAAAACTCGCAGGTGTTACAAAATTTCGATTTAGCCGATTATCGTCAGGTGTTTTGTGATCATGCCGTGCTGTTGTACCAAGTGAGTACATGCATAATTGCATTCCCGTGTAAGGTATTCGACAACGAGTTAAATTATTATTTTGTTTTTAGGAACTAGTACAAAAATTGCAAGACAATATAAGACCCTTGATCGTACCCGCCATATTGGAACATGATTCGCTGGGTATCGATTCAGTGCGCAACATCAGACGCAGTTTGGGTTCTTTGAAATCGAATGTGCTCCAATCTCCGCCGAGTCCAACCACGAGTACTCTGGAAAACGAATTGAATTCCATATACAGTCAACTGATGGCACACGAAATCGATATCGAAGTCATCGTTCAAATTTTCAAACAGGTAGATATTTATTATATAGTTACTCGGTCAATATAGATATTTCAGTTTAAAATCAATGTTTGGAAAGAACGCATCCATTATTTTGGATACATTATTTTTCATTGAACAAGCTATGGAGCGTTACAAATTTCAAATACAAATTATTTTTTAAAAATTAAAGACCTAATAAACGTGTTTCTTTTTTTGTAAGATTAGTGTTTTTAATATTGATGTGAGAACTATTTAAGTAAATAACAATACAACATTGTTGTAATTTTTTAGATATACTACTATATTTGTGCCAACGCTTTAAATAATCTTTTACTACGCAAAGACTTGAGCTACTGGTCCAAAGGCATGTCGATTAGATTCAATCTGTCGCACCTCGAACAATGGATAAGGGACAAAATCTCCTATGTGAGTTTGGTTGTTTTTCAAATGTCTGAAATTAAAACATAATTAATAAAAATTTTATATTTTTGTGATTCTCAGCCTCAGGATGTCGTTAACACGCTATTACCAATCATCCAAGCGTCACAACTGTTACAAGCCAGGAAGACTGACGACGACGTCAGCAGCATTTGTGAAATGTGCGATAAAATGAACGCGAATCAAGTGAGTAAATTTTATTTAAAATTAAAAGTTCAAAATAAATCTTTTTCCATGTCCAAAATTCAAAACGTTTTCATACCTATGCAGATTGTCAAGCTCCTGACGTCGTTCAAACCTACCGACGACTGTGAAGAACGCATTTCTATGGATTTCATTAGACGAGTTAAAGACAAACTGGAAGAACGACCGGAATGCCAAGATAAGGTGAGCTTAATTTTTTTTAAAGTTAATGATTATGATGATATTAATCTACAAATATCATGTGGTTTAGGAGAAATTATTGATGGACACTAAGTTTGTGTTTCCCGTTACGTTCCCGTTCCACCCGTCAAACATACGACTAGAAGATATCGAAGTACCCCAAGTGCTAAATTTGCCCATGTTGAAAAAGATGTAGTCGCCTTTCACAGGTTTCCAATGCTGTCTAGTGTTACATGTTTAATTATTGTTATTAATTAATTATTATCTTTTTAAATAATATTTCAATATTATATATAAGCTTATATATCTTACATCTTACCTATTTTTTTAATTTGAAAAAAAAGTTATAAAAAAAGGCTGTGAAAGTGTTTAAAATTGTTAATCTAATTATTATATGTTACAAGTTATATTGTTTGAAATTCAGAACAAAATAAAATATTTATTATTACTTTATAGATAATTATTGTTGTAAATTTTACACCGTAATATAAACTATTTGTGTCATATATAACAACATAATAACATTGTTTTAGACTTGTTATAAAAAGTCTATTATCATTTTTGTAGTTAATTTTTAATGTATTTGTTATATTACCCGTCCCTGTTTGCAGTACGATAACTGTAGTTTGTTTCCATTCTATGTTAATTTATAACTAATGTGCTATTGTTGCAATACATTTTCAAGACTGTCTTCCTGTATCATCTAGTGTCTTACTCATTTATCATTTGTTTTAATTACAAATATTATGTTAATTTTTTTTATACTTTTAATGCCAAGACCATCTTGATAAGTTAACTTTTTAGTTATTTTTAATTAATATTGTGTCATTGTTATATCAAAAATATAAAACTAATCAAATGTTAAAATTATTATGTTATTTGCATTTTTAATCAAATTGTTAACTCGTTAAATCTATAAAAAACAAATTATATTTAATGTTAATTAGTGTCATTTAATGTTAACAGCTGTGAATAGGTTAAAAAAATTATAATCAAAATGTACTTATTGTTTAAAAAAATCCAAATTTCTTAATTCATTTAATATTTAAAAATATATTACTATGTATAAACCATGTTAAACTTTACATTAACGTTACCTATTACATTTAAGTCTATTTTCTTAATGTTAACCGTATAATAAATTATATTATATCTATTAAAATATTATTTTAGACAACATTTTGTGTTTGATTTGTTCTCTGACGTAAAACTGAGAAGCCGTGAACATTTAATATTTTTCAAAGTTCAAATTGGACACAATTTAACGTTGTGAATGATTGTAGTAATTTTGGATTTGGGACATAATCCTGATTATAGTGTCATCAGTTCGATTACCAGCATAGTGCAACATAATTTTGGAATCAAGGCAATGAAAAGTAAACATTTTTTTTTACAAATATTTTTTGAAGTTGCACTAACATTTAAAAAATATTAACCTATCAGCAAAAAGTATATTTTAAAATATCAAAATAAAAAAATTAAATTAAAACATTGAATTACACTTGATAGTGATAATTAAAAATGTATAAGTGCACTTAAGTCCTAGAATATTGAAAATGTTGAAATATTAGATATTATACGAGACTGTGAAAATAATATTTATACTAATTATTGTCAATTTATAATATCTTTAAATTCACGGTTTTCAAAATTAAAAATCACAACTAATTGATAACCAAAAATCAACTAAATCTTTTTTCCAGGGATTGTATACTTTGCATAAATATTAAAAATATTGTTATTGAAATATTATTACTTAATATTTATTGAAGATAATAATTTCAGATATTTATTTTTTACTTTGTTATCAATTGGTTATAACAATTATTTTGCAAGCATTCGTGTACACTACACTTGTTTATTTACTTAATCGATTATTCTCATAAAACTGAACACCTATTCTAACCTATGTGTTCATTATTTGTAATTGTGTTAACATCGTTATAGTGAAAACTCTAAACACTGATATAAATATATACATATATAATTTATTATATATGGTATACAATTATACAAATAAAACAAACGGTAAATAATTGTTATATATATTTTTTTAATGTTTGATCATATTTTATACATTAAAAAAAAAACACACTTAATATGCACACACAAACACAAGATAAAACCAAATAAGTTTTAATATAATATTTTATGCTTATAATAAATAAAAAAAAAAACATAATGAGCACTAATACAACATTTTGGCATCTATTTTTTCAATTTTATTTTATTGTGTAAACAAAAGACTTGTCTAAAAAATAGAAGAAAAATAACGGGTGTCACACTTACATTGTTTTCTTATAGGGGTCTTTTTTAAACTTAAACATATAATATACTAAATATATTTATATATTGTTATTTACAAAAATATTGAGGCACGTCAGGCATTAGCGACGGGCGACGACACTTTTATGGTATGTGTGTGTCGCGCCATCGTTACTGCACATGTCCAAAATATATAATTTTATCAAATTAAGATTGCACAATATTTATATTATATAAATATACTTTATATTAATATTTATAAATTTTGCTTGTGATTATTATTTTTTTAATTTATATATATTTTAATAATAAAAGAATATAAGAAAAGCTTTGCAGTGTTTGATAATAGTTGTATATATTATGTTTATAAATTAAAATTTCTAATATATAATCATGTAAGTATGTATGTATATTTACGACTAGGTCATATTTAATAGTCAAAAAAGGGATGGACGAAGGAGAAAAGCAACGAAGATGAGGAGCGGAGAAATGGTTGCCCGAGAATTTATCACAACCGCCAGGCGTACACATATATGGCAACTTAAAAAAAAAAAAAAAATAATAATAATAAAAAAACTATCTCACAATAGGACCATTTTTTTTGAAGAGTCCATTAATTAATACAACATATATTTGTGTATCATCAGTTTCTTTGAATATCTATAATTTATTTTTTTAATTCGATAATATTTATCGTAATATAGTTTAAGTCACCTATGTACGACGCTTTATTATTTTTTTTTTTTTCATATAATAATAATTAATAATTTTATGTATCACAACTAATAAATTTATCTAAAAACAAAACTAGACCCGTGGTACGGTCACAATTACATGTTATAAGCTACATAGATGGGATCGAGTTGATCAGCTAGGAAACCGTCGCGTAGGTGCATGCGTTGCTTTTCGCCACGAGAATTTATGGGAACAACTCCTGGATCGACAACCACGGCAACACCGACGATCAGATGATGTTCTTCAAGCACAACGTTGGTCACTAATGGTATGAGGTCGAGCGCTTCGCTTTCATTTCCGTCAAGTTCTACGACCACCACTAGGAGATTGGTCCAGGCAAAAACGGCGCTAAAAACAAAAAACCAAATGTATGGTATAATTCCTCGTCAAAATTGTAAATCCAAATGTTTTTTTTGTAAATAGGACTTGATTGTGTGCAAACAGGGCTCAACAAAGGTTGTTGTGCAACCTGTTACTCGTTTTAATGGTGAAAATAAATATAACAAAATATAATAATAATCACCATTCCGCTATCTTTCTATGACAACGCATGACACTGTTTTCAATGTCGATTGGATGATAGCGCATGCCTCGCAAAATGATAGTCTCGTCTAGGGCACCGACCACGAAAACGGCATCATGAAGTTCTGGAAAATAAAAAAACCAAATTAACAACAATAACTTATTTTTAAGGACAAAAAATAACTAATTTTTGACAAAAATGGAGAAATTGAGTTTTTTCTTAAAATTACCAGGCGCTTCGGTTGAAGAAACAGCTAAGGGTGCGTTGCTACTGAGAGTTGACTGGTTGGAGGAGGCCATGGACAGGTCGCTCAGGGACATGATGTCGATGGTGTCTGTGGAGTGCAAGGCCGTGCTGGAAGGAGTCGATGTGGACTCGGTGCGCCTCAAAAAGCCCAGGTAACCAGTCCTGGCGTACACTTCGCCCGTGCTGCCGGTCACCAGTCTCGCGTTGAATTGGTCTGAACCACCAGCACCACCGATGCCACCACTACCACTGCTGTCCGACGTCTCGCTACCGAATGTGCTGAAGTAACCGCTGGCGTTGTGGGGCGCTTGCACCCATATCTCGCCCAGATGGGAATCTCCGCAGTGGCCTTTGGTGTCCGGATGAGCGATGATGACTTTAACGCCGGGCAACAGTTTGCCCGACTCGAGCAGACACAGCGAGTGCGGGCTACCACGTTCCACCAGCGACACACGGTCGTTCCTCAGGGCCCGCAAGTCCACGTACACACACGACGGTTCCGGGCTGGACGCCCCTTGTAGACATATGGCCACGTTGACGCGACACCCGAAACTGGTAGACACAGCCCGTGGGCTGAGGCCCAGTGCCGAAAACAGTTTAGAAAACGAAGTGGTCAGGTTGATTCTGGGCCTCTCCTCGGCCACTACCACACAAGTGCGTACGCAAGCCAAATTGACTCCTCGCTGCTTCAGAAGTCCAACGGACGACGCCAGTCCTTTGGTACAGAGTTCCATTACGCCTGTAAAACAAAAAACATCAAAATTATTTTTTACCAAATTGTCTGGCTAATCCCATGGAATCTTTCGGTTGTTAAGACCAATGTCTGTTAGTACACCATCATAATACACTTACCATACGAACAAAATGTATCGCGAACTTGGTACTGGCTGACGGCCGACAGCCACAAGCCCGGGTTGACTTCAATTTCCGACGGAGGTATGAGTATAGAATGATGACCAGAATACACACTGTGAACAGTAAAAATGCGCTATAGACATATACAAGCAGAACCGAACCAAAGTGTTGCTGCGCTTACTGACCTGCTTAAGCACCACAGGGCAAAACCCAGACCGCAGTAAGGGTCCAAGCACAAAGCAATGTGCCTGGATGGATACAGTTCGCACGCCAGTTTCATAGATCTGCATAGCGACGTGACGGCCGCGTGCGACATTTTTATGCCGGCCAACATTCCGGTGGTGGAAACGCTGTAACAGACGAATCGGTAATATTTAAAGAAAAAAGGTACAAGAATTATAGAGGTGTAATCTCAACGAGCGGTGACACAAAGAAAGTTTGGAAAAAGACAATTTGATTAGAAATGATTCGAACCTGAAGTCTAAGTAAGCTAGCAGTTCGGCGGTCGGCGCCCGGTAAGACGGCACGATTTTCTTCTTTGGCACGTCGTCTGTGTCCAGTATGGTGGGCCACGATTTGACGTCGACAACGTTGCTGGCTTCCTTGGACTTGAGCAGCTTGATGACATTCTGGTTTGACAAGACTAAGGTGGACTTGCTCACGTCCACGATCATCCGGACCGTCGGTAACGTCGTCTGAAGGTTTTGCGGGTGTGGCGGTCGTATGGTCACGGGAACGGCACCTTTTTTAATTAAAAAAATTAACCGTCGAATTAGACAATAGTTTGGAATGAGTTTTTTTTTTTTGAACTTTTGAACTTTCGACACTTACCCACATACAAACAGCCGTAGAACGCGCAAATGAGATCGATCCCTGGCGGGAAGATGAGCGCTACGTGATCGCCTGTGTTCACCTTGGCTTTCTCGTTCAGCAGATTTGACACCTTTTCCGCTCTCTTGTGCAGCTGCGAACAAGTCATAGTGGCCGCCGACGCTCCCTTGGCGTTTAACAAGGTGAATATGACGTGATCCGGGTCTCTGATGGCTCTCATTTTCAGTATTTCGGATATGAACAGATACTGCGGACGAAATAAAACGGTTGTGATTCGGAAAAAGAGAATTTAATAGTAGCACAGTGTTTCATACTGTCGTATCACCCCGTACGACAACGATTATGGTACTTACGGTTTTGTTGGAGTCGGATTCCATGTCGATGATACCTATGTCGCGTCCTTGGGCTGTGGCCAGCCGGTTGCCTTGGACTATTGTACCGACCATGACTGAAGCGGGTCCCACCTCTGAAACGGTACCGCCCACTAGGCAAAATTATTATTTATTTATGTACTTACGCCCGGAAAAGGGTGAGATTTTTGGAGAAAAAGCTAATTACTATTGTTGGACAAAGTAAGTCCGTTTAAAATATACTACGGCAAGGTCGACAAGTTAAATTATTGTAAATTATAGATACCTGAATGCACTTCTCGGGGTTTGGGCAAATTGGTGACGCAAGTGTGTGGACACATCAGCACGTTGGCGGGATGCAAGTTGCCGTCCAGGAACCGACGTTTGCACTCGGACAAATGTATTCCTCCCAGCGGCGTTTTCGGCAGATAATTGGGCGGCACCAGGGCCAAACAGTAAAGACCGACCTGGTGGATGGAGTCGACCGCTTGCAACACCCTGGACATCCACTGGAAGCTCTCTTCTTCGCTGCACTCCGGCCGCTGTTCGGCGATAACGCATATGCGCTCGTCCCGCAACACCCTAATGGCGAACACCGCTATCCTACCTCTGTAAATGAACTTCATCGGTTCCACGGCCAGCACCGTGGCGATGATGTCGTCGGCGTTATGCTTGCGCCCCGTCACCGTCATGAGTCCGTCACGGGACCCGCACACGAACACCAGGCCGCCAGGTCCCAGGAACCCTAGCAGTCCGGACCGGGTGTATTCTATGGTATCGCTCATGGGCTTGCCGTCTTCGCTTATCGGCGACACCCGGAACGTGGCGTTGGACAGACCGGGCAGGCCCCAATAGTTGCACGTGGTCGTTCCCAGGCCGCCCATGCATATTTCTCCTACCTCGTCAGTTTTGCACATGTATGGTATACCGTCCATTTTGACGACAATCATCGAACAATTCGGCATGACTTGACCGCAGTCCTGGAGCGTCAGCGAAGTCAGAGAGTTCTCTTGGTCTACTCGCACCACGCCGTAACTCAGACCTGACATGGACAGCACGCCCCGGCCGGTGGCGTTCACTCCAGCTCTGCCGGGTCTAAACACACAAAAAAACACGCGGTGTCAGCGCCGACGAAAATAAAGTAAATTACGGTCGTGCCAACTACTCACCTTCGTACTGACACCGTGAGACATTCGCTAGAGGAAGCGCACGGACATAGAGCGTCGGGCCGCAGACCTTTGGGTTGGAACACCGCTAAAAATTGATCGCACGAAGACAGCGACCACGGGTTAGCGCCGTCGCCGACCAAAAGCAATCTCAACGAACTCAGCACTATGTCCTTGTGGTCTTTGGTCGCCAACAGGCCCCAATGCAGGTCTCTGGATTTTACAACGGCCACGCTAGCTGTAAAATTGAAAAAAAAAAAATGTTAGTTAATAACACGGTCCAGCAATTGTATGTCTCATGCGTCATAGTTACCTCTGTACTTGGTTATCATTTGCATCCACGAGGCCGGATTGACTTTCATCAGCGCGTACGGTATGTAGATGACGTGCATTCCGTTCAGTATCGAAGTCAGCACCGAATGCCAAAGCCCGGTCTCCCGTTTGAAGTCCAACACGCACACCATGGTATCGCCTTCGGTGTAATTGCAGGCCTGGGTCAGCGCCCGACATTGGTTCAACATGGCCGTGCGACTGACGCTGACGCCCATCACCGAGCCGTCTTTATCGGTGGTGTACTCTATGTAAGACGGGCTGTCCTCGCCAATGTGCGGAGGCGGACACCAGTCTTTGGGGGTTTTGGGCAGGTGTTCGGTGACGAACCAATGCAGCTTCGGCCAGCCCTTGAAAGCCACCACTTCGCCGGTGGCCGTTTTGGGCAGACCTTTAAGACACGCGTCCGACGTGAGTGCGACCTGCACGCCGCAACTACCCAGCAGAAACCCGATTTGTTGAGAACCGGCGTCCCGGCGAGTCAATGGCACTTCGATTGGTACGGGCACGATGCCGGCGAAAAGACATCCGTAAAACGAGCACAAGAAGTTTAACGGATCGCTATTTGGATAGACTAGAGCTACACGGTCGCCGTGCTTCAGACACTCTCCGCCACCGTTGCCCTTGACTAGAGGACGATTCAACAGGGTGTAGGCCACTTTGTGAGATCTGCTTAGGAGTTTACCTGTAGACGAAAAATACAATTTAACAACACCGTTTCAAAGAGAACACCCGACGCGAATTAGCGCCATACCGTAGGACAATGTGATGCTTAATTTGCCGTTGGGATCCAGGACGGTTGCGACCGGCGCTTTGAACGTGCTCGAACCGTATCGTTGGAGAGCGGCTTCCAAATTTCGCGGCAGTCCGGACGGCACCTGCGTTAAAACCACACACGGCCGGATGTTACGGATATCGTTTAAAAACAGCTAATATACATTATTATGCGGCGAAAAACTTACGGATAGTGGTTCACCCACAGCCGGAGTCATGTAAGCTCCTTCGGGCCGAGGCGCGTTCGGATCTTTGGGGTTGGCTGCTATCTCCAGTTCCATGTCGTCGTCCTCGTAGAACTCCGGCAGCGGTCGCCTTTTGGGTCGCTTCAGGGTGTTGAGCAACTGCTGTATTTTGGCCGACACTTTCCAACGACCGCTGCTGGACACAGTGCCCATGCCGTCGTCACTGGACGACTGTCTGGAATCTCTGCTGTACCGGTTTACCCGGTCGGCGGGGGCGTATCTCCTGGATTGCGTCACGTTGTTGGTCACGTCTGGGGGTTGAGGGTCTGTAACACACGACGAGTAATAACGAGACAGGTCTAAAAACCACTTTGGAAACCCAAAACGGTAAAACGTGTACTTACACGGAGGTCGGATGTTATTGTGCAGCGCGTCGGCGACTTCAGTCACTTCGGGTTTGCTGCGCTTGAGAAGCTTGTCTTGCTCAGCCTTGGACTCAATAATCGTCTTGGACTCGTCCCAGTAGCTAGGCACGTTGTTGCTGGACACGCCACCTCCGGGAGCGCCGTTAGGGATCCTGCGAAAGTAAAACCAACAGCGTTACCACCTCCTAAGTCCTCGCTGGCTAATTTGTTTGCGACAACTCACTTTGTATGGTGATGATGGTGATGATGCCTGTGTTGTTGTTGCTGCTGCTGCTGTTGTAATTGCTGTTGAATTAATAATTGTTGTTGTTGAGCGGTCGTCGAGTGAGTCGTCTTGGGGTGTGGTGGCTGTGTGTCCCTGGCCGATCCGCCGGTACTGCTGGTTTCAGCGCCACTACTCCGTCCTCCTCGGCCACCGCTTCCTCGACCGTCTCTGACGTCTTTGCCGGGCGCCTGATCGCCTACGCTGTCATCGTCCGAACTGGAATCTAACAAAAAAAAAACCCATATGGAATTTGTAAAAACCACGTTGTTGCCATTCGTGATAGAAATGCACATTGTTTCAATGTTGGTGGTTACACCGCTTACCGGTTTCGTTTCGGGCGGTTCCCGATCGGTCCGGGCTACGAGCCATGACCGAAGTGCGTTTACTTGGCATCGGCAAAGACGGTTTAGGTCTGGATTGCATGGCGGCCAGAGCTTGCTGAACCGCTTCTTGTCGTACTTCTATAACGCAAAAAAAAAAAAAAAAATGAAACGTCAGTGTGAAAACGCGCAACAAAAATGATATTATGTTCAATGCACCAAAGCTCCATCAACCGCCGCGGGTTAGCGTTTGATCTACGGCATCAAATCTACTGTAAGACTAATTACTGCGCTAAAACCAACGTTTAAAAACGTTATTAGAATTTTATCGACACCGAGAAAAGGCCCACAGCCAAGTAAACATACTCGAGTTCACTTAATGATGAAGTGTAATGTTCAACAGTATATTGGGAAACTTACACGTTTGACGATTATTTTGGACGAACTGATGAAACGTAATAGTTGGTCGGTATTTAATTGAATAGTTACTATACCGCTATGCTCGAACAAACGTGGATGCGAGAGATTGTTGTACCCTAAAAAGAAGTTAATAGGACAAAAGCTCGTCTGTAATTTTGCGCGTACCCGCCGAAAGGTAGTAAATAGTATGAAACAAAATTATGGGGAAAAAAGTAGTTAATAGTATAGCTGTTCGGAAACCTCTCTCTGGGGAATAAACAACACTAAACGGCGGACGTAACATAGCGGAAACTTTACCCGAAGCGATAAAAAGGCGGCGCGTGTTACAACTGTATGGTATGTACTCGTACAATAAACATATTTAAAACGAAGCGGTCCCCGGCGGCAATTAAGGTCGTGAGATGAATTTTAATTTATTAGAAACTGGCGTCTGACCTATGTACGCTCACGGTTGTAGTATGCATACTTGAGCATTTTTCTTTTGGCTTCGGTAACGGCCGAGACGATGCGGTATGGATAAAATTAACACGAAACCCGACCGCGGTTGGTCCTGGCCACGAGGGTGATAAGGGCGAGGAGATAGGAAGACGTTACGGGATAATGTTTGACAACGAGATGGCACACCTCGGTGAAAAAATATTACTTCGGTACAACGCAGGACACTGATCATAGCTACACGTGTACTATTCTAACGATTTATAAACGAAGGCGATACATCACGAGTTCACAGTGTATGTATCGAGTTACTCGAGGCGAGAGTTCCCTGTAAATCGATTGGCGGGAAAACGATGGAGAAAAAAGCGGAATAGTCGCAGAAAACGGTTAACTAAACACACAGTCGTACAAAATTAAAAAAAAAAAAAATATATTCACTAAATTAAACAATAACAAAAAAATAGTATCGAATATAAAATAAACCAAAAATAAAAAGCCTATTACCGGAAATAGAAAACTCGCGTGTTGAGTGCTGCTGAGCGCAGTTTTTTTTTTTTTGGCAAAAATAAACAATATACAACTTTCGACTCCGCATTTGCTAGGAAAATACTCACCGTAAGAGGAAATGAAAAGTTTTAACTTTTGAAAAACACGTATGACGACATTTAATTACAAGTGACTTCCCCTCTCTGAAATTAGTCGATCCGAAATTCGGATTTGAACATTGCGCTTTGGCGAACTTCAAGATAATTAATTCAAATGAATACAAATTCAAACAATTCCAGTTCTGATCACACGGTCAAACCGAGCAATAGTGCCAATGTAGCAAATAAGGTTTTCACTCTAATTGCATGACCACGAGCGTGTTCAGTCACAATAATTTTAGCACACTGAAACTCAACCGGTACTACCCTTTGTCCAGAACGGCCATGGACATGGGCCCGTCGGCAGTTTGGACAAAGCAAACTATGCAAATCGCCAGTGTGCAATTCTATGGGAAACGCACAAGTCGGAGTATCATGCAGCCGCCTTTGAAACTTCGGGAAGTCGACCCGAAGCCACCGATGTTATCCATAGAGTTACAATGTCATACAATAGGTGTACCGCTCACGACAAAACCCAATTGACTGGAAATACAATCATCTTGTTGACACAGTTTTTTTCGGTTTTACAAGTCATCATTATATTATTACAATATATATTGTTATCGAGAATAAAAAAAAAAAACACCCGACACTAATAATTGACGAAGCGTCGCAAAAATCAAATGCAAGTATTTCTGAAATCATGAACAACTGTTGCGAGATAATATCACCTCGGGAACGTGTCAAACACAATAGACGGAATACGTTTTAATGCCTTGGTTTTTTTTTTTTTTTTTTATCTCGTTTCTACTATCTTTTGCATTTTTAGCCGTATTTGTTTATCTAAAAATAACACTTTCTAAGTGGATATCCTTTTGAAATTAATAATGAAACACTGCTGCTTCGGATACTTCTTTTTTTTTCCGTAGTACACGTTCGACGAACACGGCCACCCTTCAAAGCCTACGAGTATATTTGACTTAAAAAACCGACGTCGTGGTATGAATGGGGTTCGAGAGTTGTTGAAAAGTGCGAATAAAAAATGCACTAGAAAATACTTATTGAAAATCATTAATGAAATTTATAAAAGAAAAAGCCTCTTTCGCGGCACAGTTCACAGAGTTGCAATGTATCAAAGTATATATTATTATTTATTATGTTTAACAAGTCTACATTAAGTAAAAATAAATCGGGTTAAGGCTCGAGGTCAATATAAAAAAAACAACTTTTGAATAGCGCAACTCAGAAAACTTGTCGAAAAACCTTATTAGCTGGCCACAACTACTAGCAAGCTTTCTAGTTTTTTTGAATAAACAACGGCCACACAATACACGCGTTGTGGAAAAGGGTTGTTAATTTTAAATCCGGTCGATTTCGACCCACAGGACAATAATCAATTGTGGAAAAAGCCGTATCGAGAGAGACAAACGATACTATAGGCATCGCAATGCCCGTTGGCCGTACGCAGAGAACAACCGACAATAAAATATACTACAATGACAGCATATCCCCATTGTTTTTTATATCAACTATACATAATATATTATTCCACATCAGTATTTCAGTAGATCCCATCGATGGGATCGAATCATTCGCACACATACGCTGTTGTTATCATAGTAAATTTGGGTCACGAAGTTGTATTTTCAGATATAGACACAAATATCATACTAAACGAGACCAACGTATAGAAACCAACATTTTGTTTTACACTCGGTTTCTTGGTCGCCATAAAATACATAATGCAAATTGTGTTAAAACAAAACACACCACAATACAGGCCAGCCGCCAGTCATTTCCTATGCATATACATCATGATCAGCGAACAACATTTTAAATAACAATCATGATTAAATTTCTCTAGAATTCAAGCGATTGGCTTTAAAACCAAAATGAATTTAATAACGACCGTACATAATTTTTCACATCTTCTTAAAACATTAACCATCTAATAATATAATAATAATAACCCAAGTCACAACTATTAGAACACTGTCTCAATAAAAAAAAAAAACCTTTTTATATATTAGTAAAGCAGTAACCTAACCTAGCTTTAATTCAGGTCTTGTATCATTGCCCATTTCTTCTGGCCGTCTCGGTTTCTATTAATTAGCACAATGCCTTAGACGGTCAATGAGGTGTCAAAAGTACTGGATATTAACGGTCAAGTCGCTTATGATAATATCATACAAATATATAAGCTAGCGCCTCGTTTTATAAATATATAAATCGCGTATGGACTCAAAAACGAAGATGAGGGTAAAATCATATTCGGAGAGCTATTAAAAGGGCGGCAAGTGCAGTGGATCGCCATTAAGGGATGATTGCCGCGGGTTTGTTTAGCGCTTTTAAAGGAAATGTTTTATTTAATTTGTTGTTTTCGCGCGGAATACCATCGTCTGTTTTCGACACGCGTCCGACCGAAAGATAAAGCCAACCGTCAAGTTTAATAGGCGCTTAGCGGGATCGTTTAGAGTTAAAAAAAAAACTTCACAGCTCTAAACTGCGGTTTCCGTGTAAACACGGTCGTCGGACTCATCGATTTCAGAACTGCTCTGTGGTTGTTACATATGGGAATGATATGGCCACCGAGCCAAATCGAATTTGTAAATTTAATGTACTCGGCTTGGGCCCGTAGGTACGACTATTGTCTTCCAGACCAGAATTACGCGCCTCCGGGTATGTTGCTTTAATCGTCGACGACGCGAGAGATAAAATTCTATCAAGTAAAAATAATAAAAAAAACACTATAGAAGAGAGAGGAAATTACGACAAGTGCAGCGCGCGACACGAGTGTTTCCGGAAAAGCTTTTGCTGCAATCCGAAAAGGTGCAAAGGCGAGACGCATCCTCTTGACTTTGCCCGCGGCGTGTTAACTCCTCATTCTTATAGTGCTTTGACGCCGGTCGCTATGGTAGCAGTGTCGCATTTTTTTTTTGTCGACCGGGTTCTTTTTAATCGGACTCGGGTGAAACAAAATTCTCGCTGTTGACATGAACGTTGAAATGTTGACCCGACGTCATTCACTTCAGACCTTAGATCAACAGCAAAACTGCAGGTAATACTCTAGGGTTGACTAACGACTCTTTTACAAACGCACTAACCCTGCGGCTCAGGCCCGTTTGCAAAGCATTGGGTCATTGATTTCGATCGAATTATTCACAACTCTCGAAGATAGAGAAGGGGTTGGTTTGAACAGTTCAGACTCTTCAAAACCCATTTAGCTCTCTAGGGGTTTGGATAAAAAAAAAACCCGTACTTGGGCGGCCTACACCAGCTTTTTAGTTTCTGGCAAGTTTTGGAAGCCTAATGCATAAGGAAACCGGGTTGGATGAATGAAATACGTGACTGCCGATTATTACAAGGTCAATAACGAATTTAATTCCTAACGTAAAAACAACGCACGGAAGTGCTTCGATAATATCGACCAGCAAGTATAGCAATAACTATAATAATTATATCGACTCCGCTTAGGTCTCTTCTTCGGGCCTTAAACTAATGATTAGCATCTGCGGAAACCGGCTAACGTGTGCACGCACTGATACAATACTCTCACGGTTGAAAAAATAAATAACCTTAGAGAGGTACATTTTTAAAAAAAATTATTTTCCCCTTAACGACGTAATTTCCTCGTGCGGTAATTAACGGGCACATCAAGTAGTTTGGCAGACTGTATCGATTTTCCCAGCGAAAGTTTGCTAA